CTAGCTGATCTAGAATCAGACTGATTTGGGCTTCGAAGAGACATCACGAGAACAAGAGCGAAGAACGCCTCTGATCCGCGAGATAAAGGAGATGAAGGAGATAACCCAATCTTCCTTGTAATTTGAATTTGCGATCTAGCTCGAAATCGTCGAGGAAAGGTATTGTTACCGTTCGTTTCCAGTATTAAGCATCTGACCTGGTCTTCGTGATTTTTTTGTGTATCGTAAACAGATGATTAAAACTTGATCATTACAGCTGTGAAAAAATGAACGGCTTTTCACATAAGAACGTTGAAAAGTCAGAGTCAGCGGTATACGGAATCCCTGTACAGGACATAATGACCTTTTTTCATTTTCTGGAAACATATTAAGCTGAGTTGCAAGCACTTCGCCATTATCTTAGTTTTGGCAGCTACTTTCATCGTCGTTTGTATAGGAAGGGCTCTTCAGTACTTTTGAGCACAGTTTTGTTAATTCAGCGGGTGGATAATGAATTTGCACAATTCGAAGGTTTCATATATGGAGTGCATGTCAATTGACCTCGTCCACCTTTTTTTACTCTCTGCCTCAATTCCCTCAATGGGGGGTGGGGGGGGTGGGGCCGCTCTAGAGGGAGGGGCTAGCCGTTTAATATCGCAAGCAGGTGATAATTTTTTGGCTAATATTCGTGAGAAAACAAACGTAAGGACTCATGATTCGCTTTGCAAACGTATTTTGAAATAGAAGAGGCAAGATTGATGAAATTCTCATCATGCATTGCTTTTCTGGTCTCTGGTTTGTTTGGTCTGTCTCCCAGGGAATATTTAAGAACCGTTTTTTTTTTCCTTTTATCTGTGGGTCTTGATTATCTGTAATATTGAGCCATGCAGTATCAGTAAGACGGAAATAAATACTTAAGTTCTTAGTTCGAGCTGCAACGCTAGTTCCTTTCTCTTAATCATGAGTAGCATAAGAAATGCAATTATGAGTTTCTGACCTAAATTATTTCCGTTGTATTAAGCCCCACGCGAATGCCTCGCATCCACTAAGAATCACGCAACACTCGAACGACAAAAAAAATACAAAGATGACATTATTTATTAAGGCTTTGATTTTTCATCGTTGTAACACCAATTCAGTTTGTACATTGATGGTCTTCACATGGGAAAATAAACAGTGCTAAAATATACCTGAATTGTTCTGAGAACTTGAAGTAGTTTCGTAATACATGCACACTTATTTCTATATCCGGCTCATCTCCTTAAAGTCACTCAGTTTTCAGAGGGAGAAAACCGGTTACTTATCAAAACATCAGTCACTGGTTAGCTTTATAGATATTTTGGCTCTGAAACTTAATAATTTCAATGAAAATTACGGCCAATCTAACTGTCGCTCTTAAAAACAGTTTACAGCGAGTTAATATATATTCCGAGAATGAGTGCCAGAGCAGAGCAGTGCAAAGAACCACGAAATTTTTCCAATCTAAATGATAGAATAAATATGATTTTAGTGATAATTTCTGCACCTTCATCAGGCCTCATTTTTTAATATTCAATCTTGGTAGTTTTAAGATGACTGCAAGCTTTAAATGGTGCTGTGATTTATTATAAATTGTCAATCCTAAAAACGGTTTGTTTCTAGGAAGCCGTTAAAAAAAAGTCGAGGTTATTTTCTTTACAATAATTTACATCCATTGTTGGATTATTTATTTCAGCAAATACCTCTAAAAGGCAATCTTTATGCAATGTAACTTATTTTGCCAAAATTGACCACGATAAGCCGAAAAATACAATTAGTTCAGTCTATAAATCAGTTCTTATTGAACGGATGTGATTTTCATTTGCGGCATTTGCGTGTAGGAAAAACTTGCGAATGGTTTATTTTGTGCATTGTTACAGCGCTGCAATGTACAAATACTGGGATTTTTATTCATAGTTCGTATCACATAAAAGTTTGTAGTATATTCTACATCTCCTTAATTGTTATTTACTTTTTAAGCGAAAATCAATACCGAGGCCATATTTTTTTCAAGCCGCTCATATCTGACAAAGTAACAAAGCTCAAGAACACGAAGAATGAAAAATATACATCAGATGCTCGTTTAATTGTTATTAAAAGCAAAAAGAAATATATAATTAAGACTTCTTTCCATATTCTTTGGAATCAAATAATGAACATTTATCTTCTGTCAGGCGGGTTTGGTCCAATGTCAAGAGATTGTCGGAAGAAATATAAATATATATTTTTAGTCCTCTTTAAGCTTATCTTGGTTATATATGCAGCTGCTAGTGCGATTGTAGTTTTGATCTTAAAAGGGGTTAGGCAATCTTTACAATGTAATAGGTGTCCACTCAGCGATACAGTACGAGTGAATATACGCAGTGCCACTTTTTAGCAAACAAGAAATTTTGCTTTAAGCTTTTCTCAAAAGACGCTCGCTAAGGCTGGAGCTTATTTTTTTGCTCTAGCTTTCGACGGCTGAAACAACAAATTTCACCGTGATATAAACCGAGGCAGATAGGTTAACCCAAAGAAAATGAGCTGAAATCGTCGTTATCAGTTTGTATCGTTTTCATTTTCACACTTCAATACAGATTGCAATCTGTGGACTGTATTGGTTTGCTCCTGGAAGAGATAAACTGATAGTAACAAGTTCTCTTGAGTCTTTTCATTGCTTCGCCAGCTCAAAGAAAAGGTAAGGAAAGATGTAATCTTAAGTTGTTCCATCTGAAAAACAACGCGAAAAAGAACCTAAATTTTTAAGATTTATTTTCTCATTTATTTCAAATTAGAATGTCTGCTTCGTTTCTCTTTGATCACAAACAGATTTCCTTTCCATCGGCAGTTGTTTCCTCTCTTCTCTCCTTTTCGGGTCTTAATATGTCACTGGGCTAAATTCTACAAAAAAGCTTAACGCAAGCAGTTTTTTTCTTCTAGCGCAAAAGTTTTTGAGGAGCCAGGAAAGTGGTTTACAAAAGTGCATGTCTTATATTTGGGAAAATATGACATAAATCTAAGTTTACATCAGGCTTGCTGAAAGGTTATTTTTGAATATATTCGTGTAGCAGAGATATAGGTCAAGGGATAAAAGAAAACATCGGAAGGATATGAAAGGACAACCATCCGAATTCAAATAAAAGTGTAGCTTTTCGTGGGGTTAAATTTGAATGGCAATAAAAATTGTTATAATTTCAGGTAACTCTTCGACTTGTAGGCAACCAACCATTTCCTTATGTGTTACGTTAATCTCAGCCTAATTAGTAAGAAAATCTGTCTCTACATATCGAGAGGATGAACGTCGTTAGGGCTTGAAAAACCCTGATTGTTGTTTTTATTACACAAAGGCAAACTGGATTGTCTTTCAAATGTTTTGTGTAGTGTGTCACCTACTCATTCGTCCCTGTCTAAGCAAAGACATCTGATCTGTGTGTTTTCGAGTGCGTTTCTGTTAGCTTACTCGCAACATGAAGGTGAATAATTTAAATATTATGAAAAACTTATTGAGCTAGGTGGAACGTAAAAATGTTCTGAATAAAAGTATACATTGGTAAAGCAAAAATTTTGTAAATTATCGAAAAAAAAACTAAAATGATATTAAGTTTGCCGGACTCCTGTCGATCCTATATTTGACTCGGCTGTCTTTCAGCTGTGTTGTTAAAGTTTTCAGTTACCTATTCACTGTAAAAGTAAACTGATCTCCAAGTTACTCCCGATCATTCTAGCTCGCTGCTTTACTCTCAATACAGCAATGTAAACACAAACACAAAGATACTTTCTCCTTCTGCTTACACAGACGTACACGTAAAAAAAGCGCTGATCGGAGTGTCTCCTAGAGGATAAAATTGTTTTGATTAAAATTGTACATTGATAATAGCAAGTGATATGTAGTAGAAAAAAAATCCAATTTCGTTAAACTTCTCCCGACTTTTGCCGACCATGAAGTCATCTTTTGTTTCGGTCATCTCTTTCGTCAACAGGTTTGATTGATGGCCAGATTTTGTTTATCTTCTTCTGTAAGATTACTCCTGAATGGCTCCTTAGCTTCTATTCTTCTACTTGCCACATAACTATCATCTGCCCGAAAAATTTTTAGGCCCTACTTGCTTCTGCAAAAAATCTAAGAATTTAATTATTTAATTTACAATATCAGTCAGCTGTTTAACCTGAATCGCCGCTATAGACCACAGCTCTGCTCAGAAAAAGTCGTTGCAGTTCGCAATTTCTCTCTCAAAAAACCATTTTTTGGGGCACAATTATAAACATTTATATCAGAGTGGGGAGGGAAAGGCTATAAGAAAATTCCTGCAAAGGGAACTCTCCCTCCCCCTCCCCCCTTCACATCGAAGAAAAACTTTTCTCAAGGTCATCCCTACAAGTAGAAGTTGCTTCAGTCCTTAGATTTTGACCAGACTCAGGATTTTTTATTTTGTTTTTTTTAATCTGTCATGTTTAATCTACATGTCAGATCAGAAAACCATCCGGTTTGTGAATTAAAACAAACTGTTTTAAATAAGGCTTTAAGAACAGGGATATGATTAAGTGTCATACATATAGACCAACAAATGATAAAAATCGAAATTAGTACGAAATCAGGGCGATTTTCTTCAAATTCGCTCATGACATTTTCTTGGAATATTTTTATTTCTTGGCAGTTGGAAGCTTTAAGCTCAAACATATAACTCGATCTTTCTCAATTTCTTTTCAAAGGGGTAGGAGTGTTGAAGGTGATATACTTGTAGTGATGATAGACTTAGGCTGAATTTTCAGTAAATATGAAGACTTTATCCTTCCCTTCCATGAGTGTTTCAAAGTGTTGATCAAAATAACCTAACCCCGGGATTAGTCACAGTTCTGCCAAACGTAATGAATCTTACCGTTACCCCAATAGATAAGATTATACTGAAGTTCTCTTGCAATTGTTGTGAATAAATTGTTAAAACCGAATTGATATCGGTAAATCTATTGGAGTTATTCTGAATAGATCAACTTACTTACTTACTCTCACTTCATAGAAAAAAAAAATGAATGACAACATTACCTTGAATACCACCGATTTACTCACTCACTGCGTGATCTCCAATTCGTCTCCGCTCCTACCCGTTTGTCAACTGTTGGCATATACGATCCTTTTTATCATGTCCATATTTGGTAACAGCATCCTCATCGGGGCCATCGTCAACTATCCCCGGACACAGACGATCATGAATTACTACATCATCAACATGGCAGTCGCTGACCTGTTGACAACAGTGTTTGACATGGCGGTACAGATTTGGCATTACGGTTTGTTGATAGCAAATAAGCCATTTGAATGGTTTAGCGGTGTTTTTGGAGAGTTCATGTGCAAGTTTGTCGTGTTTATCCAAGGAACAGCGCAAGCTTGTACCGTTCTCACTTTAACTGCCATCGCCATCAACAGATTTCTTGCAGTGATGTTTCCACTGCGTCGTGCGGCAAGCAAAACCAAAGTGGTTATCATTCTGCTGCTCATTTGGGGATCGTCCCTCGCTATTGCGTCACCGATGCTTTACACTATGAGACTTCACGAAGGGCAAGGTGCCTTTTCTTGTATTGAGAATTGGGAGCCATTTTTCGACAATGCGTCATCGCCGAGACATTACACTCTGGCTCTATTCAGTTTACTGTATGTCGCACCTCTTCTGATGATAGCCATTCTGTACTCGGTTATTGCATTTAAACTTTGGGTGAGAACAGTCCCAGGAAACGTCACAGCGCCAAACCAACTGCTTGAGCTTGAGACAAGAAGGAAAATACTGAAGATTTGTATGACAGTGGTTTTTATTTTTACACTTTGTTGGCTCCCCAATTATATTTACCTTATGATTCAATTTGTTCCTGAAAATAACGGCAAATGTTATCCCCCAGAATACGTAGCTTTCTTAGGGCTTTTTTTTGGTGACGCAAACAGCTCTATTAACCCGTTTATCTACATCATATTTAACAGTGAATACCAGAAGGGCATGAAAAAAGTCCTCAAGCGCTGCTGCATTCCTTGCAAGTCGAATAAACTGCGTATGTACTCTAGCAGAATTACACTCATCAGCTATCCATCCTTGCGGACCTTTAGGGAGCTAGAATTAACACCTATGAGACAAACTCTGCACCAAACCAACAGCGGATTTAAGCAAGGGTTTATCATTTCTTGATTTAAGTTTACGTGAGAAAGCCAACTGATAAATATTTGGAAATGCGCGATCACCATCCTGACACACTGGGTTCTAACCTGCTGACCAGGTGACCATTCGCTCCCCCCTCCCCCTCCCTCCCACCCCACCCCAGAAAAAGGACACTTGATTACAGGTTACATCCGTTCAAACTGTTAAATGAACTACCCGAAGTAGAAAAAAAAAACATGGAGAATTATAAATTGAATATGCTGCACGTGACAAATTTACGCATCGTCTTTTACACAAATGGAAAGCAACTTACATCCCTTAAATCGTATGAATGAGGCAGTTTTTAAAACGCAGACCGACGATTGGCTCAGCTTTGGGTTTTAACCAGAATACGCGAACTGCTCCCTTAGCACCAGTTAGAAATAAAATCATATTTGCATCGATGACAAAAAAATAATTTACAAAAAAAAAAATACTTCTTTGGAGAGATAAATTTCATGTAAAAATTTGATCTTCATTCGCTTGTCAGACATGAATCCCATGCAAAAAATCTGACACAAAATAACCGTATAGCACATAACTGTACAGAGGCCTTTGATTTCAATTTCATTAATCCGTGAAAACTGTTGTAAATTTACGTAATTAGCCGCTAATTTATCTAATCTTTTTGAAAATGTTTGTGAATGTGTTTCAGTTACCATTTTAATTATGAATCACAGAAAGATATTTACAAGTTCATTTACACCATCGTTATAGCGCAACCTAGGAAAAGCATAATACGACCAGGGCACGTGATCTGACTGTACATGTTATCCTTAACATTTTAAGCGTCCTATGTTACGGTTTTTATTTATTGCCATATTAAATCTATTCATTGTCTGATCGAAAAATTAGTTGTACTTATTTTACCTTCTTATTACATGCTAATTAATCACTTCTGGTAATTAAAATGTTCTATTGTAACCTCCATTTGTTCATGGGAGCAGTAGCCTTCATTTATGTATATGTACATCGAACGAATCCATCGGTCTTATCCCAACAGGGTAACTTGGTATTATCAACTGAGTTGATAACATAAATTGGCCACCGTAAAGAGTTTCAAAACTGACGTTGCGAGCGTTAGTCCTTCGTCAGGGCGAATGACGAAGGGCTAACGCTCCCAACGTCAGCTTTGAAACTTTTTACGGTGTCCAGTTTATGTTATCTACTCAGTTGATGAAACAAAATTACACAGTTATACTCTTCCACAGATGCAGTACCACAGTTTTTTTTAGAAACTTATCCCCTTCTCTCACCCCAAGCCTCGTTTAGCGGTGCCAACTGGTAAATTGCACGGAGAAAGTGCTTAATATCTGAGATATAAAATTAACCTCATGAAGACAAAATGAGACTGTAAATATACCCACGATAGTGCTATTAGCAACATAACTCAAAGAAAATAGAAGCTCCAACTTTTATCCACCTCATGTAATTAACAATTGCGTATTTGCATAGAAAGCTCTCATATTTACTAGCATATTTCTATGAATAAGAGATGAATTTCCCTTCTGATGTGAGATCTAATTTCTGGCAGCTCTAATGAAAATGGTCAAGAAAGAAGAAACTTTTCGGACCACCAGGAAAAAAGCTAAGTTCACCACCTTAACCCTTTAGCTCCCAAGACATTTTCCCCTCCAGTTGCTATACATTTCCTTGTAAATCTGTTATGAGATTTAAGGGTTAGATCAAGATAACAACTTTTACCCGATAAATTAGAGTTTTCTCGATACCTTTTTGCAGGATAATGTATGAATATTATAGGGAGAAGTTCCATGTAAATCACTTTTGGGAGTTAAAGGGTTAATCTATTTTTCAAATGTCACGACAGTCCTGGAAGAGGAAAGACATCGTGCGTAAACCAAATTTTAAATATTGTCATCTCTTACTTGAGCAATAATACTTATTACGTGTGAGATCAGAGCTGCTTGTGAATTGAAGTGTAGGAACTAAAATTCTTTCGCACTATTACGCTTTCCAGATTGTTTTTATATTTTTGAATACCAATCCAAAATACAGAGAGCGTGTAATTCATTCGTTGATAGCTTTTCTGTAGCTGCAAGAAGAAGTTCTTCTAGTCGTCAATCTTCTGAAATTTCGTTAGGCTAAGACCGCTGTGACCATTGCATTTTACAGAGAAGCTTATCTCGCTCACATTTCTGAATTGGGTGTGCACACGAGGAACATCAGCGGAAAAGCAGGGTAGGCAGTGGCAGAGAGCCTTGAAACCGTTTCTAAAGTCCTGGCTAAATACAATGTAGATAATTGGATTTATTACACAGTTACCACAGGCCAAAAAGAGTGCCAGGAATCGACGAATAGGAGTTAACAGACAGGGAGCATGGCTGTAAAGCCCAATCATGACATTTATTTTAACAGGAAGCCAGAATAATGCGAACGTAAGAACGGCTACGATGAGCATCTTAAGTACATTCTTTTTGGCTTTGAGTTCGACTTGTTGATTGGCTGTAGTCACGTGCCCTGGAATCCTTCGCATCCATATCCTGTAGATGATGGCGATGTAAAGAATGATGATTTCCAACAAAGGCAAGGCATAAAACATGATGAAATCGGCTGTTGTATAAATTGTGTTATAGTACATTGGGATGGCCGGTTCCCATATTTCCATACAGTACACAGTTCCATCGAAATCAACGAGGTCATTGACGTAAAGAAAGATGCACCCTTGTAAAGCCGGAATAAGCCATGTCACAGAAATCAGCTGGATCGCTCTTTGGGAGTGAATTAGTCTTTTCAGGGGAAAAAATATGGCAATAAATCGATCAGCAGCAATCATTGCGAGCGTCAAGATGGCGGAATTTATTGTACAAGATGTAAGAAACGCTTGCAGCTTGCAAAGAATCTTTCCGGGCCAACCTGCAAAGAATGCACAGGAAAGTGTCTTGGCTAACCGAAGTGAAATAATGGAGAATTTATTGTATAAGATGATGGGGGGGGGGGGGGGAGAGGGAGGGGGGATGTTAAAGCTTCGAATTTATCGGCACATTATGACAGCAGAAAGATATCATCCAGCAAGTGTACATAACCCAATTATGCCTCTAAAAAACTTGGATCGACCACAGTAAGCTCATAGCTTAAGAATCTTGCGTTTCTCAAAAAACAACAACACAAAAACAAGGAGAATTGATATTCACCACCGTTTTCCTAAATCGACATACACCAAGACGAATTCTTACCAGAAACCACAAATCCTAGGTGTGGTGCAATTCTTCCCTGGATGTCTGGAACTGCATTGAGCAACAAGATCAACAGATTCACAGTGCACAAATTCACGATAAAGTAGTTTGTTGGAGTGTGCATGTGCCTTTTTTTCTTAATAATGATGATAACGACAGCATTTCCAATAATGGAGAGGAAGATAATGATCAGAAATGAAGACACTTGGAGCCATTTTTCGGTAGGAGTGAATAATCTCATGCAGCCAGAGGGCGTTGGAGATGTCATTGTCGCATTTGAGCTTGTGCCGTTCGTCATTCTCTTGATATCTTTCGCACTGTTGGTAAGGAATTTTCAATCACTTAATTTCCATCTGAGAATCGTATAAAATGTAAAAATAAATGACAAGTATTAGTATTTCGTTTCTAGTATCTGTTGTGACCTTGCACAGAGAACTTTATTAAACGTCACCTAAAAGTTCTTTTCACCGTAGGTACCTGAATCCTGAATGAAAGAGTGTGTCCCTGCTATTACTTAGGAGCAGAAGCCCTTTGTGTATGCACAGTAATTTCATATGCTGGCGTTTAACTTCACAACTAGTGTTACAAGTGTTTCACCCTAAATCCAACGATTGTTCCGAGGATTATTGCATATTGTGCATCGGGAAGTTGTTTAATGCAAAGAAGAAAAAGAGTATTTCAATATCGTTTCTTCTTAGAAAAGAAATTGTTGCTAAATCAAATGGAAAAAAAATAGATTAAGTCAAAATATTCTTTCCTAAATCAGTAGCGTATTTCTTGATTAAAATATTTCGACTTCTCTTTTAATTTGAAACTTAAGTTAGTATATATATTAAAATAAAAAGGGAATATTTGCTTTGAAATACAGGAAATTCTCAATTTTTGTGACTGGAATACACTTGTTCAGCCTATCATATTCGAAGAGATACTCTCTCTGAAAGAAGTGTTCCTAATTATGGAGCAACTCACCGATCTCCAAATTTCGACGCCATTTTGAAACACTGAGCGAAAGGATATTAAAAAGATATATCTTGCACACTTGTCAGCAGTCTGATCATGTAACTCCGCTTAGGCAACAGCAACAGCCAACTCTTCCAACAGAAAAACCAAAACGTATTGGATAGGAAGATATACTCTTAGTTTTTGATTAATTCGTGCAGCGAGTTTGTTTCATATTCTCGGCCGGCACAGGAAGCATTAGAGTGACAGCTGGTCAAATGAACAGGTTTTATATCAAGCGAACGGATGTGATCTCAGTGTCATTCTAATTGACCCTGCATCGATGAACTGATAGGTTGCTCATGCAGAAAATAAGCGAGAACTCGATAGAATTAGGCGAAGATATACGGCCAAAAGTAAGAACACTGTGGTTACGACCAAGGTAATCTCAAAAACGTTATAATTCTCCGATATTGACACCATGAATGTCAATTACAGTAACATCTGAAAGTAATCACAAACGTATCACATACGCTTAAATCATAATTTGCAAGTACAACTATCAAACACGTGCCCTTATCCTTTTTAGTTTCGACCAATGAATGGTGCATGCATTGACGTTTCCTGTCCTTATCACCGGTCGATTCCTTAGTGTTGTACACCATTCCGCTGGTAATTTCCTGAAATGTAAGTGACTGGGTAATCGTAAGTCAATTTAGTTTCACCAGAGGCTTTTGTGAAGTTTCCTGCACTAATTAAGACAGGATGAATGAAATCTGTCTTTTTATTTGTTCCTTTTGTCTTTTACCTTGGGCGTGGCATCCAACGAAGGTGTGATTTTTTTCATCGCTTTAAGATGTGGCGAAGAAGGGCTAACACTCGAAACGTCAGCTTTTTTACTCTTTACGGTGGCCAATTTACATTTTCAACTCAGTTGTTAATACTTAATTACCACCTGTTTTTAATTTTGTCTATTATTTTCAAAGCGCCTCAACGTTAAATTATCACGATAGGATTTCAATTGAGTTTTTATTTTTTGCTTTAGGAAATGTTGCACTTGTTTGTGGTTTTGAAAGTTAGTTCTCTAATTTAAAAAGGACTTTCATCAACCTGTCACGTAATTTTAGTTTGAAAACTTGCTCTGGCCTCGAGGAAGTCTTTGAGCAAATACTGACGATTCGTGTCGGAATTTACTATGAATATTTGTACAGCTCCACCTTGCGCGAAAGCCACGATGACCATAATTCACGGACATCAAGAAAACGCAATACAAACTCAAGGGTTTTAGAGCTACAATACAAATTTATGTTGACAATGAGGACAAACAGATTAAACAAAATGCGATGTAAATTTACGCTGATATGCCAAATACTAAAAATTTGTTGATAAATATTTTTAACATGACAGTTTTTAATGAGTCGTCGACATTGTAGTTCAAATAAATGTATGTAAGTTTATGACTATTTTTTTTTTCGCCGTACACACTATCTTGAAATTTGCTTACGTCCTTTTCATATTACTCATAGTTTATTGAATTGTCGTCTGTCTTGTCTCACGCAACGTTAAATCAACACGTAATAATGGCTCGAAATTATTTGAAAAGTTGCTATTCTTGTAAAATCGTTCATTTTTATTCCTACGGCTTTGTCACCACAAGTTAGACAAAAAGCACAACGTTTTCCGTCCTCATGATAAAATCATCCCGACAATTTGTGCACGATGAAACATTTAGCCGGCTTCACGCACTCCGTAGGAGTTTTAAAACATATTTTAGGCGCACTTTTACCAGAATAAACAGTACTTTTTCCCCCATTATTTAACATAGTAAATGTTTTGTTCAAGATGACAGACAAGACAGATACCAGAAGCTGTTTATGTCTTTCTATAAGACACCAAATGACTTCATTAATAAATCATCTCCTATATTTTTCCAGCTTGTCTAATTCTTCGGCGGAAGTTGCTCGAATTTTGAATTCAAGTTACACTTGAAATTGTTTAAGTTCTCATGATCATTAGGTGTGATATGCCACTGAAAAACAGCTCAGTAAAACGTCGGAAACATTGTGTGATTCACATTTCTAGTCATTAAGTCTCTATTGCTTACATATGCAATTGTATTAATCTTAATGCACGAATGGTTTAATTTGAAAACTGTCAAACAATCTTTAGAACTTATGCATGGACGAACTTTTTTCAACAGTCGTTACCTATTTGTTTTGTATCTGAGGCGAAGAACTGAACATAAATTCAAGAAAAAGTTCCAGTAAAGAAGAGTGAAATTGTTTCAAAAAAAGCTTCAAGAGATGGGGTTTTGCCTAAGTTAAAGAGGCTTGCATTTTTCAGGGAACTTATTCAGCGTCGCTCTTAAGGCCCTGTTTACCATTCGAGTTGTTATCAGATAGTTGTCTTTTAACTGTCGACTGATCTCATTCGCGTTTTCAACGACGTAGAGAGTACTTTATTTAGGCAGGTGATAAATTAAATCGTGCTATTTTTTATTTATTTTTTTGCAATTACGTAGAGACCAAACTGTTCGAGTAAAGCTCCTGTGGACTTATTTTCTATCGATTACGACTCATCTTTCGTTAAATGTGTTTTATTGGCGCCTTGAAACGAAGTAAGTACGTGCATATGTATAATATGGAATTAACAATCAAGGAAATACAAGACTAGAAATACAGAATATTGTGGTGAAACTTGTCTTCATCCTGAACTTTTCACCTTACACTTAACGAAGGGTAAATTAGGATTTGCATGGTTTTTACTAAAGCATTCATGAAATAATCAGTTCGGGAAGTTAAACGCTGACAACCATAGCAATACTGCTTCCGATGAAGGAAAACAACTCAAGGCCTCTCAGAAAGTGGCATTACATCGTCGTTTTATAATCGATAACAGAATCCTTGGAATTTTTTAGCCATCACGGAAACATTACAGCATTTAGGTTTTTAAAATCATGTAGGAACATTAAGCAGCAGGCTCGTAGTACATCAAGGTGGTAAGACATCCAATAAATTTTATTCGTGCCTTGAATTATGCATTGCCTCTATTTCATTTTTTACGGTCTTTTTAAGGACAGGAGTCTATGAGGAAACGGTTGCTAGATCCTTTTTTCCTTATAACCTATACTTTTGGTGTGCTGTCTTGTAAAAAAAAAAAAAAGAAAAAAAAAAGAAAAATTATAATTTCCGCGTAACTTAACCAGCCCAGGGAAAATGGAGGAAAATTAATACTGCCTTCATTTGCGGATTTTTGCCTATCTGATAACAGGAATTTAGGATAATTTTATGTCTCAATTCCGCGCTCAGATATTTCCTCATGATTTCAGCTGAGATAAAGGAGGTTAACACATAAAATGCTTGGGACAAGACAAATTTGAGTAAAGTTTTTAATTGTTTTTGTTGATGTCGCTGTTACCGCTGTTATATTTTAAATTCCTAACTTTTTGTATAAAAAGGCCCTAGATAAATAAATAGCTCCAGCCCTCTCCCTCCCAAAAACGGTTAAAAAAAAAAAATGTTGAAACAAGAACAAAAATTAGTAGCATCGAGCATCACTTGTCTTTTGTAGAGAGCATTTTCGATATTATTTTTTCATTTTCGAAGAGTATGAATTCAGCGCCTTTGCAAAGAAGGATCCTCGTGTCAGGTAAACATGCTGGTTCTTAAAACGATGAGCGCCTCGTTTGAACACAGCTGTGCGCCAGAAACAAGGTTTTTAATGAAGAAAAAGTTTTTTGAAGAAAAGAAGAAAGGAGATTTGAATGGAGCATTTTGATGAAAGGAAAAATAACCCAACGTCCGTCATCGCAGACGGACGCAAACAGTTCCTTTACAATCGCACTAAACAACCCTAGAACGTATGTCTCACAATGAAAACTTTATTAATAGATTGGTTGGAGTGACATAGTCCTCAAAATTTCAAGCCTAGCAAGTGCAGCTTATGGTCACGGCCATTTCAGCCCAATTTTTTTAGCGAAAACACAATGATTTTACTGCCTCTACACTAAGGAAAGAAGTTTCTATATCTGGATCTCACCTGCCCTGGTGTGTGCTTGGTCTACCACAGCGTGGAGCCCCAGTCTCTAAGGGGTTTGTTTAACTATAACGATCAGGCAATATTGCCTAAGAACACCTGTTTAACCAGACTTTAAACGCTGTACGCACACAGACAATGTTGATAATCACTTCTAGTGCATGGGCAGCCGTTCAAATCTTTATTATTTTATCTTTATATTATTTTATAAACTGATTGTAGAAAATAAGATAAAGAATCATACAAGGAAAATCAACACGTTTCAGAAAATTATGGATGACAGAAAGAAAACATATTTCTTTCCAGTCTCATTAACATAGATTAACTATATACACACTGTAATCAATTTAATAAAATTCATCGAGCTAAGGAGTACGAAGTGCAAAATTTTCCTCTTTATCTATGTTTGTGTGAGTCTCAAAACCATTTTCGCTGGACTTGCCTTTAATTCTTATTAAAGTCTCTCGTTTCTTCTCTCAAATTCACCTGCATTGCGTTTGTTTGACATGAATTACCAAAGACGATCTATAATTATAATGCCTTTGCACCTGACGTGACGTGCGACACTTTCAAGGAATTAATAATGACATTTTATTGTCCAAGACACATTACTCCAGTCAATCCGTACTAATTTAAATTCTTCACCGCGTATTATTCTACCAATTTAGCTTTTTGTGCAAAGAGCCCAAACAGGAAGAGGGAAGTTCATTTCTAATATTAATTTTCATCTTGGCTTGAAACCAACAGTTTCTATCGTAACCATAGCTACCAGACTAATAAAAGAAAACGCGTTTGGCTAATTAAGTCTAGTGTTGGGCACCAAAGAACGTTGGATCTTGGAAGGTAGGAGATGACTGTACTTAATGCATGATAAACTTGAGTTTGACTTTCGCCCCATGATAAGATTTGATATTCAGCCTTAACTCCTATTTCTGTGTAGTTGAAATAAAACGAAAATGAAATTTACCGAGTTTCCAAATGTGGGTATCACAAACACTTGGCGAGAAAATATCTCCAGCTGCTTGAAAGAAACAAGATCATTATCCTTAAATTTTATTTTCGTGAACAAAACATTTACTATGTTAAATAATAGGGAGTTTTTAATCCAAAAGGTTTTGGTTTAAAAACGTACAACTTAACGTCTAAGTATCTGCTTTTCCTAGCGTTTTTCGCCGTCAATTGGACCTAAAAGAATTAATCGAAATTTTTACAATGTTGTTCAAAGGACTAATTTCGGTGTCTAATACGTATATTAACATGTGAAGATATTCCTAAGAGACCCACATCTCTCCATCGAGCGAAGCGGATAACATCCATTTGCGCCATTTGCATTAATTTCCACATGGAACTGCCAGCTGCAAGCATTTTTTTAAAATTTATTTTCATAAAAAGGTTTTGTTCATAACGACAGGTCGATTTGGGAAGCTTAATCCATTGCTTGGAGCTAGCGATCAACTTAAAACTTGTGTCATACGCGCGTGGTATAAACAGAAAACCTGGACTGCATTGTTGACTAACTTCACTTTTGGAAAAGGTGAGTCGCAGACGGCGAATCATTTTTTTATCCTTCGATTCACTTATGAGTACAACTTCATTTATATATCTCTCCTATTCTATTTTACTGATACAAAAAGAATTAAAGTTACAACAACTAGCAACGACTAAGTCAAAATCCGACATTCAACATCTACCCATGATTGGAACTCATTTTTGAAAAATTAAAGGGTATTTAACGAAAGTTTTTTTAGCGTTTCTTATTCAGAAAATTGGATTTTAGATGCAAAATGACTAAAAACTTCGGCAAATACGAATTACTTCATTTAAAATAGTTACATTCCCATCTCTCCTCTCTCAATAACATTTAACATTTAAGCATGACACTATGTTATGTTCAATTTTCCCGCGTTTTACTAGGCGGAAATTTGATCTTTCTGCATCGTAAGGAAGCACATTTTAACCGCTCTCAATCATATCTGAAAAATTATTTTTACAAGAGAACAGTACTGACATATGGCAAAGAATAGTTGCAATTTTTTGTTGTATATTCGTCCATAAACATAGCTTATCTATCAAAAGTTAAAATCGCGTATTGTGCAAGTCTAAGAGAAAGTTATTAGCACAAACATGTTCAATGATTAGTTTAAAGGTACTCACCTCAATAGAAGGTGGCATCTGTCGACCGTTAAATTGCCGATTATTTCGATATTTCTGGTTTGGGAAATATAGAGTTTGACATTTTTTAATCTAAGTTTACTATTTCCGGGAAAAAGTCGAATTGTCCAATGTATACTGAATTTATTCATACATCACCCCATGTATGAATCTGTTGCGTGATGCCATGTCTCAATTGAAATTAGCATAAATTTCCTCTTTCTATGATAATCGGTCTAAATAACCAAAGGCGATCGTGTAAACTCGAGTAGGAAAAATCTGAATTTTCAAGGACCTGTATAATGAAGAAAGAGAAAAAGGTTTATAAAGAAGAATAAAGTTTTTTTATGACTTATCGATCATGAAATAGAAAAGGAACTTGAGAAAAATTTGCGTATAGCTTTTATTAATGGCTTTTGTTCTCTTCGAAAATGAAAAAATACTAAAAAAAAGTAAGGAGCTGTCAACAACTTCTCCAAATTTTCGTAGAGGGCAGGCGCTGACGCACAGCTGTTTTCTAACGAAGCGCTTACTTTCTGGAACCAACAAGTCTACCTAAGAAGAGGATTCCTATTTTACAAAAGCACAGAATTCTTGCAACGATGTTGATGACACAAGATGTACTGATCGAGGAAATTATCTCTAGTTTTTGAGAGAACATCTATTTTGAGTTATTCTCGTTTTCAGTCAAACGCGCGGCAAGACGAGAGTGTGATATTTTACTCACAAGTCTCACAATGGAGAAGTTACGAATTTTTTGTTTTTCGTTTGTTCTATATTCCCTTTCGGAGAAAAAAAAAAGCAGGTCTTGCTTGAGCTTACATAGTTTTACGACGGATTCAAACAGTCTTTATGAAAATTATAAAGCTATCAACAGTTTTCCGAAATATTCCCTTTGTAGAAAGCGGACCTTGGGACTTTATGTTCGTTCTCAATCAACCGAGGCGGCATTTAACGAATCAAGGGGTGTGATTTTTTTCGCGTGTTAAGTTTTTGCTGGGCTTATGCATTTACGCTACGGTAAGCAAATTATGGGAGGCGATTGCGCAGCGCTTTATGCAAATTCAGAAAATAGGATAACTTTCGTAGCGCGAAATAGTGCTATTAGCAACATAACTCAAAGAAAATAGAAGCTCCAACTTCTATCCACCTCATGTAATTAACAATTTCGTATTTGCATAGAAAGCTCTCATATTTACTAGCATGTTTCTATGAATAAGAGATGAATTTCCCCTCTGATGTGAGATCTAATTTCTGGCAGCTCTATTGAAAATGGTCAAGAAAGAAAAAACTTTTCGGACCACCAGGAAAAAGGCTAAGTTCACCACCTTTACCCTTTAGCTCCCAAGACATTTTCCCCTCCAGTTGCTATACATTTCCTTGTAAATCTGTTATGAGATTTAAGGGTTAGATCAAGATAATAACTTTTACCTGATAAATTAGAGTTTTCTCGATACCCTTTTGCAGGATAATGTATGAACATTATAGGGAGAAGTTCCATGTAAATCACTTTTGGGAGTTAAAGGGTTAATCTATTTTTCAAATGCCACGACAGTCCTGGAAGAGGAAAGACATCGTGCGTAAACCAAATTTTAAATATTGTCATCTCTTACTTGAGCAATAATACTTATTACGTGTGAGATCAGAGCTGCTTGTGAATTTCCATGCATGCAGTCATGTTCGTTGTAGGAACTAAAATTCTTTCGCACTATTACGCTTTCCAGATTGTTTTTATATTTTTGAATACCAATCCAAAATACAGAGAGCGTGTAATTCATTCGTTGATAGCTTTTCTGTAGCTGCAAGAAGAAGTTCTTCTAGTCGTCAATCTTCTGAAATTTCGTTAGGCTAAGACCGCTGTGACCATTGCATTTTACAGAGAAGCTTATCTCGCTCACATTTCTGGATTGGCTGTGCACACGAGGAACATCAGCGGAAAAGCAGGGTAGGCAGTGGCAGAGAGCCTTGAAACCGTTTCTAAAGTCCTGGCTAAATACAATGTAGATAATTGGATTTATTACACAGTTACCACAGGCCAAAAAGAGTGCCAGGAATCGACGAATAGGAGTTAACAGACAGGGAGCATGGCTGTAAAGCCCAATCATGACATTTATTTTTACAGGAAGCCAGAATAATGCGAACGTAAGAACGGCTACGATGAGCATCTTAAGTACATTCTTTTTGGCTTTGAGTTCGACTTGTTGATTGGCTGTAGTCACGTGCCCTGGAATCCTTCGCATCCATATCCTGTAGATGATGGCGATGTAAAGAATGATGATTTCCAACAAAGGTAAGGCATAAAACATGATGAAATCGGCTGTTGTATAAATTGTGTTATAGTACATTGGGATGGCCGGTTCCCATATTTCCATACAGTACACAGTTCCATCGGAATCAACGAGGTCATTGACGTAAAGAAAGATGCACCCTGGTAAAGCCGGAATAAGCCATGTCACAGAGATCAGCTGGATCGCTCTTCGGGAATGAATTAGTCTTTTCAGGGGAAAAAATATGGCAATAAATCGATCAGCAGCAATCATTGCGAGCGTCAAGATGGCGGAATTTATTGTACAAGATGTAAGAAACGCTTGCAGCTTGCAAAGAATCTTTCCGGGCCAACCTGCAAAGAATGCACAGGAAAGTGTCTTGGCTAACCGAAGTGAAATAATGGAGAATTTATTGTATAAGATGATGGGGAGGGGGGGGGGGAGAGGGAGGGGAGGGGGGATGTTAAAGCTTCGAATTTATCGACACATTATGACAGCAGAAAGATATCATCCAGCAAGTGTACATAACCCAATTATGCCTCTAAAAAACTTGAATCGACTAAAGTAAGCTCCTAGCTTAAGAATCTTGCGTTTCTCAAAAAACAACAACACAAAAACAAGGAGAATTGATATTCACCACCGTTTTCCTAAATCGACATACACCAAGACGAATTCTTACCAGAAACCACAAATCCTAGGTGTGGTGCAATTCTTCCCTGGATGTCTGGAACTGCATTGAGCAACAAGATCAACAGATTCACAGTGCACAAATTCACGATAAAGTAGTTTGTTGGAGTGTGCATGTGCCTTTTTTTCTTAATAATGATGATAACGACAGCATTTCCAATAATGGAGAGGAAGATAATGATCAGAAATGAAGACACTTGGAGCCATTCTTCGGTAGGAGTGAATAATCTCGTGCAGCCAGAGGGCGTTGGAGATGTCATTGTCGCATTTGAGCTTGTGCCGTTCGTCATTCTCTTGATATCTTTCGCACTGTTGGTAAGGAATATTTCAATATTTGGTAAGGAGTATTTCAATATCGTTTCTTCTTAGAAAAGAAATTGTTGCTAAATCAAATGGAAAAAAAATAGATTAAGTCAAAATATTCTTTCCTAAATCAGTAGCGTATTTCTTGATTAAAATATTTCGACTTCTCTTTTAATTTGAAACTTAAGTTAGTATATATATTAAAATAAAAAGGGAATATTTGCTTTGAAATACAGGAAATTCTCAATTTTTGTGACTGGAATACACTTGTTCAGCCTATCATATTCGAAGAGATACTCTCTCTGAAAGAAGTGTTCCTAATTATGGAGCAACTCACCGATCTCCAAATTTTGACGCCATTTTGAAACACTGAGCGAAAGGATATTAAAAAGATATATCTTGCACACTTGTCAGCAGTCTGATCATGTAACTCCGCTTAGGCAACAGCAACAGCCAACTCTTCCAACAGAAAAACCAAAACGTATTGGATAGGAAGATATACTCTTAGTTTTTGATTAATTCGTGCAGTGAGTTTGTTTCATATTCTCGGCCGGCACAGGAAGCATTAGAGTGACAACTGGTCAAATGAACAGGTTTTATATCAAGCGAACGGATGTGATCTCAGTGTCATTCTAATTGACCCTGCATCGATGAACTGATAGGTTGCTCATGCAGAAAATAAGCGAGAACTCGATAGAATTAGGCGAAGATATACGGCCAAAAGTAAGAACACTGTGGTTACGACCAAGGTAATCTCAAAAACGTTATAATTCTCCGCTTTTACCGTTCGCAGTGTTGTTCAGATCATAAAGCCATGAACTTGTATTGGCGAAACAGAAAAAATTTTCCATTGTTGAGCCATCAAATTCACCTCAAAACACTTGAATAATCGCTACCAAAATCTGCGCATGATTTGATTCAGCCTCAAAATACGATATTGACACCATGAATGTCAATTACAGTAACATCTGAAAGTAATCACAAACGTATCACATACGCTTAAATCATAATTTGCAAGTACAACTATCAAACACGTGCCCTTATCCTTTTTAGTTTCGACCAATGAATGGTGCATGCATTGACGTTTCCTGTCCTTATCACCGGTCGATTCCTTAGTGTTGTACACCATTCCGCTGGTAATTTCCTGAAATGTAAGTGACTGGGTAATCGTAAGTCAATTTGGTTTCAGTTTCACCAGAGGCTTTTGTGAAGTTTCCTGCACTAATTAAGACAGGATGAATGAAATCTGTCTATTTGTTGAAATTCCATCTTTGAGCCATGGCGATGAAAAGGTAAAAGCAAGTGCTAATGATTTTCTTTGATTCTCACGGAACGTTTCGGAAAGCCCTTGTTTCTAAAAATTTTAAACTTAAGTTATTCTGAGTCTACTTACCAAAACTCGAATGAAAGGCGAATTGGACATATGCTACAGCTATAATCTCAGACGCCGTTTTAGCTCAAAAAAATTATGTATGATGGAAGAGTAAGTTTGTTTGCGCATCTCTAAAAGTTTAGCCCATATATTTTCAAAAAATGCTTCTCTGGCCCGTGTTAAATATCACCTTGCTTAATCATTCTTCGATTCCTTTTCTTCAGTTTCTTCATTTTGGCACAAAAAGCTACTTCGCCAGTAGTAATTTCTTTTTTTAAGACAAAGACAGGACTTCACATAGACTTGATTTCCGAAGATAAATTGAGCCTTCCGCAAAATTTTTATAAAAAGCATCGGTGGGGAGTGTTGTAACAATTGCGTTAGGAAAAAGTCCTTCGCCGACGTTTTGCCCAGCAGATGGCGAAAATGTTTTACTTTATGCTCTCCCTCGATGATGGCTACGATGGAATTGATATTTTTTCAGTTTTTAATTTTAAAGATCTGAAAAAAGAGAAAAAATAGCTCTGTAAGATAGAATAAGACAGGCGGTGATAACCTGAGATGCGACACAATTGCATACGACAAACCTGGAAAGTGAAGAGTTAATTTGTGGAGGCGATATTGTTACTTTTCGGTGTGAGTGATTTCACACGATGTTTAGCACCAAAAAACAGCTGCAATCATTAATCAATGGGCAAAACATCAATAATCGTAGTATGGATCAGTGCGTGTTGAGTTCATGAGTTACCATTCTTATGATATCAGGTAGGGAGCTAATTCCAAATTACTCTGGGTGAAAAATGTTCTCCCTCTTTTCTTGCGGGTAAGAAACATGCTGGCACTTAAATATAACCACTTTGTCATCCCTGGTAAGGATGTAGGTCGTGAGAGCTGTTGAAGGGGAAGGAGACTAAGTAACAGTAAGACACTATCTTTCTAGCGTGGAACAATATGCCTTCCGTCACAGCCAACACCAAAATGCAGCTCAGCATGGCTAAACCTGTGTACTCACACGAATTGGACAAGCTATTTTTTCGCATTTTGCACTTGTCAAGTTCAAGCCTTTGGAGTTCTTGGGCATGGAACGTCAATAGCCCATCTTGTTCTTTGATAGTATTTTATGAAAGCAAGCCATAAATTTCCTTTTGTTATCAACCTTTCTACAAGGGGCCACTTCCCACGACGCAAACAGCCTCCTCAAGACGTTCCATATGCTAAAATCAACAACGACCATTTAATCAAAGACTGGCGAACGGCGTGGCAAAATGCTTAGAAACTGGCTCAATTCTAGTCTCCGCTCTGCAGGGGACCGTTTCAGCGGGGGTCGACTGTGATAGCATCACAGGTCAACACAGGAAGTTAGCTTTAAAAAAATGGTTTGGGCTCATACCGCAATATTAAGAGTGTTTGAGCTTTTACTAAGGTTTAGTAGACGTATGACGAAATACTTACTCATTTTCGTCTGCAGAAGTTCCAAAATTCATTTTTGCCAACTTTTTTAGCAAACATACGTAATAGAGATACTTGTTTTAATTGGCTGTCCAGAGATTGCATATTTCATCACCAAAATTCCCGAGGTTTTGGCGTCGAAACGTTTTCCGTGAATGGCATCGCAACACAATGGCAAAGGCCATTGTGATCAGCAGCGCTAGCATAACTTTCTCTTTTAAATCAGCCTTCATCTCAAATTTTTAAGTGTCAAACCAAAACATTTATCCGTGATAAAGAGTAGAAATGATGAAAAAAAGTTTTTGTGTTATCGATACAATGAACTAAACCCGTCAAAATATGCCTGGCAAGGGAACTTCGAGTCAAGTGAACATCATTTGACCCTTTTAAAATGCTCCCCTAATTAACTGGTGCTGGCAGATAGTCTGTGATCTATTGCCTGAAAACATAAACATTTTCATTTTATGACAAGCCTAAGTACTGCCAAAAACTCAGATCCAATTGGATTGACATCGGCAGACGCTGCATTAGGCTTAAAAACGCATCTTTATGTCAAGACAAAGGGATTACAAGTCGGAACTGACGACAATATCAAGATAAGTGAATCGCCCCTCATAACTAACAATGTCTTCCAATTCCTGAAAGCGTTCTTCATACGCTATAACATATAATTCTTATAAAGGCATAACCTGTATTACTCATTCAAGTGAGTTGTTGGTTTTAAAGATAAAGCGACTGAAGTCATGGTTTTCAAAGGCGAAACTGGCCCGTCGACGCTCTAACTAATTCACTGAGACAGGATCGCCAACAACAGACGCCATCTACGTATTCGAGGTTAGAAAAATTAATGTGTAAACCATTTTTGGACCCGTTTCTTTCGGAATGAGTAAGTCAAGAAGGGAAAGGCGTAGAAAAAAGTAAAATTGATGCACATATAGGAAAGATTCTAGTAAATTTTGTCATATTGAAAGCAAAATTAGAATTGAGAGCCTCTCTGTGCGGTAATAATTTATTGTTGCAGCTGTAAAGCTAAAGATTTGGCAAGCTTAACTTTGATAAATTGTTTGAGCAAGGATCGTCCCTCGTCTAAATTGTATGGTGGATTATAGTCGTTAGGTTACTCATTCATGAGGCAATAGAATAGGAATGTGAAAAATGACAGGAAAACTTGCTAACGGGTAAAAAATGATTTCGCGGCCAGACAAAAAGAAATTTCACCGTGTTAAAACCGCGTCGAACTTAAGTATTCGTACATTGTTATTTAAAAGCCAGACTCTCATTATCAGCTAATGACTTGGGTTTGTGATGCGTTTATAGTGTCTTTTCCAATCTTTATTTTGTGTAATTGAACTGATGTCTCTTTCCCATGCTTCAAGTACAATCAAGAGGGTGCTTCATGTACAATTATTTTGACAACATGAATTTTGTTTTTTGGGTTCAAAATGCGCGTGTCTCAACTTCAGAACTGCGAAACGCTGCACAGTTCGGAAAATAGAACGACTCTGGCACATCAAAGGCAACTTTTAACTCACCTTGAACAATACATTTTGAAATTTTCAGAGAAACACAATAGAAGGATATTTTCCAATTCAGGTCGAACACTACTCACTTTAATGTACTGTTAACAAACATTTTCCTAGTCCAATATCATCTGTAAACATACCAAACAAATAATCAACAGACCTCATTTGAGATATTTCAAAAATAAGAAGGGTGGCAGAAGTAATCCATTTACTATTTTCGCTCGTTAATTGCTGTACCAACAATCATCTTCGTTTGCTGAGAAATTTGTTTTTAGCTCGAACTAAACTCTTAAAATAGTAAGAAAAACTGAACGTTACTTGAAATACTGATTTTTAAATTAGAGAACGTTAGCAAAGGAGACAGACTCTTCGTGCCTGTAGCTCTTAAATTCTAGAGATAAATTGGTAAGTTTTTGCAAATTCGTCCTCTCAGGGTTAAGTTAAAATCCTTAAGGTTTTCTTCGTCCCAAACTGAGTAATTGAATAAAAATTTTTTTCATTATCTTCCCAATGAATTCGTAGAATGATTTGCCTTACCTTTTAAGTTATTTCAGAACCTCTTTCCTCGATTCCTTTCTAGCTGTACTAACCAAATTATACATAATGAACTGCTAGTGTAATCAGTATAGATCTTAAATGGGATATGAATTTGTAACCCCACAGTGAAGTTTGAAAAGTCTGATCTTATTCAATAATATACTACACAGTGGTTGGTGAGGAGAACTCTATTTTGTTTAAGCTAGTTCAAATTGTCTCGACGATTCCCGCTGCTATTTTTCATTTTCCGGCCGACAATCTTCTGCAGAGAGCGGAGAATGTATTTGTTTAAACAAAGTGTTTGATTAACTTGTCATTTTGAAAACAAAAGCTGCAGGTGTGTGTTTCTCACACAGAAATACAGTGGAGCAATTAGCGCATTCAGCGGGAAAGTAATTTATTGTCTTATTGCGCAGTGTGAAACGCAAAACATCCGCACCAATGATCAAAATCAACAACTTCAGGGGCGTCATGAACCAACTCTGCCGTACAAATCAACAATGTCATTAGTTGACCCACGATGTCAACCTCGAAAAATTAACATCTAAACTACTATTATTTAGAAAAATGAACTTTCAATCGCTTGTATCGACGTGTTTACAACTACAAATGCCATTCTTCTATCAGGGAATGAGCATTCTAACACCGTATTTAGCAATATGACTAAGTATAACGATGTGTCTTTATGTTACTTTACTAAGATCCAGTTTCAAACAATGTTTAGTTATGGGTACAAAAAAGCAGTAAAGCATCGGTTAAGTCGCGATCAATAACTACAGGCGAATCTGAAATAAGGCTTTTATTTATTTTCTCAACCTCAGTGAATAAAAAACATACTTCCCATTAAATTATTTTCAGAAATCTCAGTTGGGAATAAATAATAAATCTTTAGTTGTATATTACAACAGTATAAATGTTATTCAATTACTATCCTTTTTTCCAAACTGCCGCGTTCGGGTTAGATAATGTAGCCTTTTCGCTTCGAATAGTACACATCATTAGTTGTGGAGAAAACAAAACATACACAGAATGACTATTTGCTTTTCGGAAAAAAATGGTGACACCTTTTACATGGAATACTATCCTAAAATCAACCTCGAGAAGCTTTTGTGAAATGATTGTTATTCTTCATTCGCTATTGTTACTGCAGTGTCTGTGATATTGAACATAAAGATCTTTCAAGACTTTTGTTTTGAAAATCGTTTTATATCCGTTCGGCATGTGTCTACAGAAATAGCTTAAGGGGTTTGTAATTGGGTTTCGCTACTGAAAACTGGACTGTACGTGATAGTAAAGTCTCACGACGCTCAGAGATCTGTTACGAAAACCGGCATCCTGAGTTCAACATTAACCAAATCAATCAATGCATTCATAAATGAACAATAGCACTCCACTGAAGTTGATTGAAGTTTTTAAAAGAGAGCGCTCATGATAATAGCCTGCAATCTAGAGTGGTAAATTTATGTGATGCTGCTCAATGAAGACATTGAGCCTTCCTTTGAAAAACAACAGGACTCAAACTGCATTAGTTACCACCAGCATAATAACCATCAAGTTTCGCAGTAGCATTGCAAAACCTAAAATAGATTATTGAAAATCTAGCAATTAAACAATCAGGACTGGTGTAAACTTTCCTAAAATTTAGATCGCACTAACACAACAAAGAAGAGCTCCTGTTTGGTTAAGAAAAGAAAACACTCGTTATAGAATACTTGAAATCAGCTCTGGTGACTCTAATCAATCCGCACGCGGTAAGAGATTATGTTCTAAATGCTTCTAAAATATTGAAAACGTATGTCGTAGTCTACTTTTATGTCTGAGCCATTCAACGCTTTGCTAATTGACACGAACACTCGCGCATAGCAATTACCAAGATATTGATGAAACACTGGCACTTAATAAAGTCCCCATCTTCCCACTTGGTATTCTTGCCTTCCTTTAAAGTCATATCCTTACTTTTGAGTAGCTCATAGGTTTTTTTGCGAAACATTAAGCATCTTATTATTATGTAAATAGAGCTATTCTTTACTTACCTGAAAGCTGGCGGAACGTGATTTTATGCAGACCTTTTGAATCTGACTTTTTCTTGATTTGCACATGCACGATCCACTCGGCTTTCGGTAGAAGGATTACTACGTCAATAATTCACCCTCGCTCATCCGCTGAGACACTACCATTGAGTAACCAGATTGAAGTTAAAAAAAGTTACGCCTTCTCATTCCCATCGCCCTCCGTGGTCTTTGACAGCCCTCTCCCCGGGCCCCGCAATACAGCCCACGGATGCGACAAGATAAAATCACCGAGAGGGGAATGTATTTTTCTTTAAAACTAAATTACTGAGTCCAACAAATAAAAAAAAGATACCAAGGCTGGTCCTAGACTCAGATATGTTATGTATTTATTAAGATATCTCTCAAACTCTACCAACAGATTTCAAAATATATTCACAACAACTTTTTTTTATAGCGCAACGATGAAAAAAACTATACTCTCCACGGCGTATTTGACATATTTCAACACTCAGCCTACTATATAGCCTAAGTGTAGCCGTACCCTTCCGTTTCATGTCCACACATAAATTCCACCCTCGCTCCTCCATAAAATACGCGAATCCCGTTCCAGTACGGCCCCGACTTCCCTTACCAAACAAAGCCACCCTGGGCTCTCCAGTCATGGTCCGATAATGCGCTCCTGTTCCAAGATAGAGCCAACATTGTTCCAATACTGTGCAGAGTATGGTGACCTTGTTCAATAAGAACCGTCTTCAAACGTTTCCAATAATCTTCAACTCTGCTCAAACATCGGCTGGAAATTGTTCGTTCTTAAGTACCCAGAAAAAAATTGTGGCATAGCTCTCTTCTTTAGTAAATACTATGTTAAAAAAAACTAGAGATCTTGCCTCTAGTCTTACCTTCATAAACCTGTTCTTTAACCATGAAAAATAACAGAAACGACACGCGGTTTCTCTCATTGAATTATGAAGACGAGGGTTGTGGTGGCGGACTCGGCTCAAGGTTTCTTTTTTCGCAAATTTCGCGCACGTTTTATTCAATAGCAACAAACACACTCTTCGTATTGTTTTGCAGTGAACGAAAGCTCGGAAAACCGCTAAATTATGTACCCAGGCTCGAATTGATCTATCTTTACTATAAAGTAAAGGTGGAAATCAAAGTCTCCTCATCATGCTGTTATTTTCAGCGCTGATCTTTTATCGCGGTGTTATTCTCAATATAGCGGCCGAAGGCTTGAGTGCCTGCATAGCGTTGCTAACTGGCATACGTGCATGTGACCTAATCCGGCAAGGGGTTTATTGGTTACCTTATTTTTTTAATACCCCGACTACTATTTTACAAAAACTGATATTGAGACTTGTAACCTGATGAACTGTGATGACTGACATGACGTATAGCCTGATGTTTGAGGGTCGCAGAATTACAAAATGCTCCGAAAATTTTCATTTTAACTTTTATAACGAAGTACATTTGTCATAAAACTTACAGTTACAAATCGACTCATGCCATCAAACGGAGTAAACAAAATTACGTGTCCATTTTCGTCATTTTGGACTTAAGATCGTGCGGTAAAAACAAGCTTTAAACCCGAAATAAAAGCATTTTATTCATAGCAGCTGTATCCTAGTAAGTATGACAAGGGTTTTACCGTAACTATTTGACCAATCGGTGGCTGATCAAGCCGGGAGGACGAACGAGGTAAGCCACGACACTGATCTTTATCCGAACTATTTATCTTGCGTTAACGCAAGGCCCCAGTGCATCATGGGGTGGAACACAGATTACTAAAACGGCAACACTTAGCAACAGGAAAAGTCAGTTTGCGGCGTTTAATAAATTTCCATCGACAAACAAAAGTGGCATGTTGCACAGGAAAGGGTCATGTTTGCTCGGCCATTCAACAGTTCCCTTTGTGACTGTGTCATCTGTCAACCTCCAGCTAGCTAATGAAAAGTCTGGCTAGGTGAGTTTCACATTTCCCCGTTTCTTATTACATCCAACGACTGATAACTGCCACATAAGTCTCCTTGTTTTGCACAATTATTTCTTTCTCGTCTTCACGCAAATCGACGGTGAAAATAGGGCTGGTCCGGGAAGCGTTTGTATTTTCATACGGAAGATTTCTTGTGGCTGCTTCAAAAACCGTGACAAATCTTTGAGGTAAACATATGCTTTGATCCAAACTTATTTTACGAGCAAAGTTACGAGAAGATAAAAAAAATTCTTTCCCAAGGGACCCTGTCTCAATAGAATAAAAATTGCGAGAAATTATCTTGTAATTAGTGCGCTTCAGTATACAGAAAATGTGGCAATTTCAATTTTTTATACTTTCCTTCGCGTTTTTGGCTCAAGATACTCTTTTAGGACATGCCACTTAGTATCAAAACGTAACATGCCGTAGTGATTTTTTAGCAAAATCCAAAGTGTACTTATTTTCGAAAAATGAAAAAAAATCAATGGCAGCAACTCGCAACTTTTTTAATCGAACAACCTTAAAGATGTAAGAGGAAAGCGTATTTCCCTCCTAAATGTGTGTTTTTTGATATTGTTTTCCTATAAGGAAAGAAGAGACATGTAACAAAGCCACTTCTTAGAGATTGTATCTGGCAAAAATCCTAATTTTATTATTTTCCGGATCAATCTTGTAATGCTAATTTATTTTGACTTTACTTTAGCTGATGAATAACGCCTATCACACCACGATGATTAGAATTGTTATTTAATAAAACGAAAAGACAAACACCAGTCTGCAGAAAAACAAACTCTCAGTGATTTTGTGATATTTCCTGACAATATTTGTTGTGAAAAAGTGACTAAATTCGGATTAGGTCAATATTTGTCCTAGGTTTACAATACTCGTTGCTTTTTGTAAATATCAGAGTTTCTGAGGCGCGGTTTGCCTTCTCAATCGTGGTTTTAATTTTGTAAACATGAAAGGAGCCATCTGGTGGTAAAATGCGGTTTATGGTTAAGATTAACCGAAACTATGATTTAGGAAGTCTGTGTTATCAAATGAGAGATAAAACCACGAAAGTGTTTCTTTATAAAAATGTGGAACCGCGGTATTTAAAAGAAATGATAAGGAACATTTTTTACGTACATAGTGAGCATGATACTGGCCTATTTCAGCCACCAGATTGAAGTGCATGACAAATCATATTTGTTAGATTTAATTGCCTTCGCTAAGTTCACAAATTGAGAGAAAAAAATGTCATTTCCGTAAACATAGTCTAGATTTTCCCCTACAAATTACATCCGGCTTTGCGTTTTTTTCTGCCCAAAAAGATAAAAAATAATAATAATAAAAAGCTGGGGATCAATCAACTTTCAAGCGTATTAAGTACTACATGGTACCTGTGGTTTTTTGGACCGACCTCGTGGCTCCAGCTTTGAGTTGCATGGTGATGAAAAAAAATTCCTTAGAGCCTCACAAATTGACGCTATCTCGACAATGTCTCCGTTCTTGATGTCTTCGTAAGAATTATGACGTAACAGGGCTACATTGTGTAAAATGATAAATATTTTTGAGAAGATACGGTTTCATTTCTTGGATGGGTCTTGTAGATTTTGCCCCTTTGCACGCTACCGAAGGATCGGCTAACCTGTACAAAAGAAATTAAGAATTTCAATCATTAAGTTTGTAAATCATCATTTCCATCATTGCCTTAATGCCACTCGTAGTTGAAGGTTTGACATTTGCATGGTGATCATACAAATCAGGGTACTTTTCAGAACCTTACTGAGAATATTTAACAGCATAGCAGTCAACAACTTAAATTTCAACTTTATAAAGCTGTAAAAAAGTCAATTTTAAGAGTGAAATATGCATACAGAACGGTCCCACCTGATTTGTATACTCTTTCTTTACATTTTTAAGCTCTCCTTTGCTTGATTTGAGCAGATAATTTGGTGTAAATGGAGTCGTTGTGTCATTGTTTTATTCTTGTTTTGTAACTCCTCTTGAACATTTAGCTTGTTGGTAGGCGAAGACCCATGAGTCAAAATGAAGTACAGCAACTAATAATGATTTTTAATATTTTTTGTGATATTATTAACATCATCATTATCATCACCATTATTACCATTTTCACAGTCTAGCTCGTTGGCTTTTGTTTCATGACATTGGTAAAAAAAATAGAACTGGGTGCCACCCCAGCTTAAACTAATGCTGGGGGAGTCCGAGGATTTGATTCTCCCATTTTTTTTTTACACAACAGCAAATTTAAATTGTTCCATAGTGGGCCAATGCTAATCGTTGAGACAAAATAATTGTTACTAAATTTAGAGTAAATTCCACATGGAATTTGTTACTGGGCTAAAAACATGGTAACATGATCATAAGTCTTCACGGAGGAGAAGATTGGTCATATGACGAGCTATTGCAAACAAGTGTAAATTACGAAACTAGCCACAGTCATGCGCATGCTTAGAAAAACAATTTGGTTTCATAATCTTACCAATGCATCGGAGTTACGATCAGTGAACTGACAAGAATGATAGTTTTAACAGTATCATAAAACGATTTCAATTTCCAGGGACTGATCTTACACTGATATTTCACAGATATGGAGTGAATATTAACGAACTCCATAACCTTCAAATCAAAAATAAAAATTATAGCCCAATACATTGCTGTTTTCCCACACATCTTTGTCCACTTTTACAACATATTTTCTAATTGCGTTAATGAGTCATAGCTCAAAACAGTATCTGCTTGTAACAATGCAATTCGTTATAGTAAGGTGCAAAATTATAACTGAAATTCTGAAGTGAAAGGTGATTTTCTCAGAAACTATTACCAGCGTATGGAACCGTGGTTGGATAAATCCTAGAGATCATTTTACCCTACTTTATTGTTTTTATGAACATATCGCGCGTTTAAAGGTAGTTACAAAAATAGCAACTTCTACGAGTTGTATAAAGAAAGAAATACAGACAAAGTTTATAAGAAAAAAAAAACTCAAAATTTCACTGAGTCATTATATCGCACCGTATTGAGTAACAGTTATGTTCGCTATACTCATTTTTTTACCTCATGCGTTTTAAACGAGAAAACATCTGGGTCAAAACCTATAGCTTGTGCCGATCTATGAAATGAGCTTTACATGTTTGCTTCAAAAAAAAGCACCCCTAAATCAATGACATCAATTTGAACCAAGAAAGCACTCTTGACTTTCAAAGGCCTATTTTCAAATCATTATAGATCGCTCTAATACTGCATCATGGGTCATATTTTGACTGATATCACTTGCCCATAGAGTCTTAAAATGAAACCGAGCTATAAGAAACTGAATTTTTGGTGAGGAGGAATCTTTGATAGGTCTGAAAATTCCCTATGCGGTCATTTATTTAAGTTTCACCTCTTGCTCACTAGTGACGTGGATGTATTTGAAATCTCTATATATCCCTCACTGTAAACTTCGGCTAAAATCGGCAGTTGTTTTTGCTCAATGGCCGCAAAATAAGGCTTATTTGAAAACCAAATACATCAAATGAACTACAAACCTTAAGCCAAATGCAGTTCCTTTTCAGTTAAGGGGAAGGAAATCGCTTCAAAAAGCCATAACTGAGGTGCCGCCAAAATGTAAATCAGGAGTTACCACATAATGAGAACTTCACTATTATAATCTTTCCTTTACGTAAGATCTCCCGGGTGCTTTATGTCTTTGTATTGAGCAACACTGAGTTTTGTTAAGGAAATCTGTTTTTTTTTTTTTTCAAAATGCCAGGCGGTTCATTCAAACGCAAATGTACATCTGGACAGCCCCGGGTCATAAACGCTTCAGTTGCGGTTGATAAAAACATGTCTCCGCGACACTAAATAGACGAGACTTTACAACTAGAAAACTTCCTTTTAAAACCCAGTCATCGTTTTAAGGCTTCTTCTTGATATATTACTCACTGTTTTTATGTTTGTAAGTAGTGATGAATAAAAAGGCTATGTGTCATCCACAAAATTTGACTGGGATGAATTCAGCTTCCATCCGCTGTAATTGAGTGATGAGGGAGGGTGTATTAATGACAAATGGAATTCAGTTACCATCAATCGCTAAAATGATTGTTATCTCAAGATTGTCTTGGTGATTCTTCTCTCGTTTCAAAACAACTGTTTTCATCAACTCTGAACCGTTTTTGTTTTTTATCCATGGCCAGAATTGCTTCTTACTAGGGTCAAGTGGAGCAATTGGGAAAGTTTAGAGAAAAAAAGAAAGAAAAAAAATCATCGAAATTATAGAGGAACAAATGTAAATAACTTTCGGCAGTGAATGTTAACTTAAAATGAAAATTACTTTCTTTAATTGTCTTTAGTCTAATGGAAAATTTGTTTCAACCAATTCGGAACTGAATGTCACTTTTCATGTTAAATTTCCTTTCTGAAATGTCTTTAATCGCAGTTCACCTGCCGGTGAGGATCAGTTCTATAAATATTTTCCATTTTGTTTATCATAGCCCTGGTTGAGCTATTTTTATCTTCAAAAACTCAAGGATGTAAAGTAAACGCAGTTTGATAAGGTACAGTTTTGCGATGTAAATATTGTTGGGGTTGTAAGAGGTACACATTAGTTTTGAATAACAATGTTGAACAGCTAGAAGCGACATCTTATAAATTTGACATCCCTAAGTTGGTAAAGTACCAAACTAGCCTGAAGCCAGTTGAAGAAGATTCTGAAGCGAAAATTAGTTTTCTTCTGACTTTTTTAAATATAACTCAGAACTGCAGCGCTACAAGAGCATTTTACATCGGTCAACTTTTCTCTGAGCCTAATTCTTACGAAACATACTAGACACGTAACATGGGACTGGAAAAGGGTCTTCTTTTGTTACGTGACTGTTTGTTCTCTTTCCCAAATCTCATGGGCGATTATAACTTCTGGAAAATTTAATTGTTAGAATTAAAATGAAACTATAGCATTTCACCTCAGCTTTGAAGTCAGCTTTAAATGTTGTATGGAAAAAGGGAACTCTAAATAAATTAACATAAAGGCATTATTATTTCATAATAAACATTTTCAGAAACCTTTAACGGGTTCATCAGCGAGAAAATATAGGTGGCCGGTCAAACCTCAATTAAGGAGCGTTCAATTCATATACAAACAAGAAAATTCTGACATACAAGAGTTCAAGAGCTCTACAGTTTGAGTGAGATAAAATCATGGGTTACATTTCCTTGAATTTTAGCCAGACTAAGTGCGAAAATAACATCTTTTAAGAAAAGCAAGTGAATTGTGTGCGACGCGAACCTAACAACAGCAGCTGCAAAGAAGACCTTGCTTATCTTTGATGGTTCTCTTCATTCTTTTTCAGAACAATTATTCTCCTTTCCATCTTGCGCCTCAAACTTCTTACTCAGTCTAACCTTTCGCTGAATATGCGGCTATGTTTGTTAATCAGCAGTGCATCAAACAGCTGGACAGAATGGTCAATGCAAAGTGCTGATTTTAAAGATAAACTTTTGCCTGTATGAATTCCTTTTCGGTAACCAACAAGGAGTCATCCTTGAGTCAGCCGCTTGTGGTGTCTTAGTCATGCGATTAGCTTAAAAGAGCCGATTGTTTGGTTCACCGTATGTAACTTGAATTTGTGATTACCAGTTCTTTTCTTTTTTTGTTTTTGTTTTTTTTTTCAGGTAAACTTCTGAAAGTGATCATTTAAGTAGGTACAAGTTCCATAGAGCGAGATGAACAACAGTAGTGGGGCTGTTGAGGGCAACCAAGGATCTGTGACAACATGTCCTCATTGGGATAATTCTTCTGTACTCCAATGGATCAAGACTATTGTGTACCTGTTCATTGTATTTTTGGCCCTTTTTGGAAATACCTCGGTGATATGGATAATATTCAGGCATCGGCGAATGCGAACAGCAACCAACTATCTCATTGCAAATATGGCGGTGAGCTTAATGCATAACCTCATGTCATCACAAAGCTTCTTGAAAAACCAGGAAATTGTGGCATTTAGAAAGGCTGAAAAAGTGTCGTGCAATTGTTAACATTTCTTTGGTATGATTCTATCGTTATGTAAAACTACTGAAAGAAATTGATGCAGTCATCTCCAAAAAATATAGCAACAGATACTCGACTTATCGTTAAGGACTTCTTTAATTCAGAGAGAGTTTTCATTATTCAACGACACTCGGGGTAACCCTGCAGTTCAGCCGCCGTATTAATCTTTCCAATCTTCCCCAGCATCGGTTTAGATTACTTTGGGCGGTATAAATTCAAAATGAATTCGGATCATGTGAAATACGGCGTCTGGAGTGACTCTTACAGGAAGCATGAGCACACCCCATATTACACAGGAGGGTTTTAATTCTAACAATATATCTTTCAGGTTGGGGATCTGTTGATGGCTATTATAACCATGATACCTAATGCAGTGAACATTCTACGTGGGAATCACGACTGGGTCAACGACTCGCTCTTTGGACAAGTATCCTGCAAATTGTTTATGTTCACCCAAGCTTCTTCAATGGCCTGCTCCATATTCACTCTAACAGCACTGGCACTTGAGCGCTTCTTTGCAGTTGTTTTCCCAATCTGGAAAGTAGTTAATATCAAGCGAACAAGATGGCTGATTGGCGTCATTTGGATGGGATCAATCGCCTCAGCATCGCCGTTGTTGTATGCAGCCAAAGTGGAAATCTATGATGGAGCTCCCTACTGCCTCGAGGACTGGGCTCCCGCTTTCGACGCAAGACGATCGCAGTCGATCTTTACCATTGTGTCATTTGTACTCCTTTACGCCCTGCCTCTACTTTTGATTTCTATATTGTACTCAATCATCATTGCCAAGGTATGGGGTAGGAATATACCTGGTAATGCTACTCCGGCCAACCAGCGGCTTTTGAACAGGTCAAAAAGAAATGTACTGAAGATGTTGATTACAGTGGTTCTGGCGTTTGCGCTGTGCTGGTTTTTGATGCACCTTAATGTGATTTTGATGGACTTCACAGAAGTTTTCTCGCCTTGTGGTATCTCCATAGGACTACAAACCACGGGTTTTCTCTTCGGCCATGCAAACAGTGCCATCAACTGCTGTATCTATTTGATATTCAGCCAGGATTTCCGAAGAGGAATAAAGGATATTCTCAAGCCCCTTTTACCGAACCGCACAGCGACATTACTTGTTGATAACACTCGAGCTGGTTCTTCTTTGGAAGCAACAATTGAACTCAAAACCAGTAACAGGCAGGGTAGACCGCAAGCGAGATCATTTAAAATCATACAAGTTTAGACAAGCCTTGATTTTGAGGTGTTACTCGCGATTTTTTCACTCGTCACGGAGAATCGCCTATCAATGTAATGAAGCTACGAAAAAGCTGATGAAAAGATCATAAGCCATAAGGTAGCCATTTTGAGAAGAGGAAAGATGGATGCGCTGTAACGTAGCTATTGTGAAAAAGTTTTAGATAAGATGGCTCCAGAGAAGTTCTTTGTACTTATCAATCCTTTTAACCCCTAAGGGAGACTAACATCTAGTTTCCCCCTACTTTATGACCCCCTGAGTAATAATAATAAAAAAACCACGAATATCAAGGAAATGATCGCCAACTAAAGAAACTCTTGATTGTTACACAAATTCTCCTTGTAAGAACCCAAGAAATGAATAGAGAACATTATGGAGAATATGCATACTGATGTTACGGTGGAAAGTGTTAAACAAGGGAACGAATTTAAAGAGTTCAAAGCTGATGTCATGATTCTGTAAATAGCCATTCATGATTCCAATTGTCTCTTTGATTTTTAAAAGTTTTCTCTATTGATCACTACTCTGTACTATGAAAAGTTAGATTTTTTCTTCCTCGAAAAATGTTTGCGTGAGTCCTGAAGGAATCAAAATAATTTAATTGATTCGCACTGGACTGATTCTTATAACTCAGAATATGCGAGTTTCTTGAAACAAGTGAATGAATGAATCGATAAATCGAAATGCGCCTTTCAACCAATCCTCCCGGCCGTTAAAAGAGAAATATGTAAGAGACCATATTGTTATCTTCGTCATCAATAAGTTTCTTCAAGAGTTTGTTATTTACCCCTGTTTGAGATTCAACAGGATGACTTAACCTCTTGTGACTATTTTCAAATGTGTTAACAAAAAGATAGTGGGCGCCGCAATTTTGAATCTTGCTTCGCATCCTAACCGCTTACTTGTGATTTTCTGGGTGATCTGTTTTAAACAGTTAGGAATTTCAGTGTGTGATCTGTGAATTTCATACTCCATTTTTCTTATGGCGGAGATAACAAATACACGGTTTCAAGATTATACCTTAAAAGGTGCAACAGTGAAATGGATAAACCGTTGAAAATAAGGCCGGATTCAGTGAACAGAAAACGAATTTATGTACATTTAAAATTCACACACTTTAAATTCTACTTGTTCAATCGCGTAAAATAGCTTGGGTGTTCAAAAAACATAAAAGAATATAATGACGACATTCAAGGAACCAATGAAATAAAGGAAATGACTTTGTAATGGTGTACGGTTGTGTATTTCATCAGTCAGTCATTCGAAGTTAATAGCTGCAGCAGAGTACCCAATCAATCCAAAAGCGAACAGAGGCTGTGATTTTAAAGAATAGCCCAACTCCAGATTTCCTTCAAATCGATTATTAAAACCTGTAGCCTTGTCTTGACACTGCTCACTTTCATTAACATTGACATACTGACGTTTGGCAAAATTGCAAATGTTTAGAATGCGTAGCCGGCCCTTTGTTTCTCAGCAAGGGAACAGTTAATGCAAACGCATCTGGTACCCACTCATAAAAGAACTAATTGTATTCGTTGGGATTCAATTGTTGAAGGGACTGAACAAAACGCTTTCAATGATTATATATTTTGGTGTTTCTACATCGTGCAGTCAAGGTTGACATTTCCGGCTCTCCGTTGATTCCAGCCTACAAAAGTAACCCAGTCGTCCGCATTTCCCACCCACCCTGTCTACGCATAAACTATCCAGCTGGATCTCGCAAATTTCCTCATTTTCGCTGATGTTCTGAAACGAACATAGTTTAGACTAAGAGGCAGAAGCTTACTAATTTTGGAATTTAAGTGTGACGAAGTTTGCGGATGTCATGGGATGAACATTTCTTCATATTTGAGAGATTCAAGAACAGCAGGGCTCCGTGTTCACACGAGGTTTTCGTTTTAAAAATTCTCGTGTCCTTTGATTCGAATTTACCATTATTTCAAATTTTCGTGCGTAATTATAAAAATTCCAAAATTTAGAGATAACTGTTAACCCCTAATAAGTCTCTAAGTAATCAGTAAACACACAAACAACAAAGACTGGTGTTGTAAGGTTCTGATGTGACAAATCGTTTCGAATCGTGCAATCGTTTCGTTTCCCATTTTCCCCTACGACCCTTACTTCACACTAAATACAAATTGACATCACATGCCTTTCACTGGACAATAGGAGCAACTCGAGAAAAATTTATAATAAGATACATTCTACAAGCCAGACCAGATTAATCCTCGGCTTTTTTAACAAAAGAGGTTCCCTTTCTGCATACAATTTTATCAGAGTAGTGGACAAAAACAAAAAAAATTCACTGACCTAAACAAAATTGTCTTTACAAATGGACCGACGATAATTATCAGTGTGTAAATTATACAACGACGTTAAGGCAGTTTCCACAAATCTTTCAAATTTTAATTTTAATTTAATTTCATGTTAATTAGGTTCCTAAGAAATGAGGTGCACTTGCCTGGTTAACCCTGTAATTTCTTCACACAAAAGACAGCATTAATAACACAGAAACCAAAAAGTCCAGAAGGGGTAAAACGAAGAATTCTAAATAATTATTACACTTAATTATGGGGCATTGTGACACATTTGCGAGCTAAAATAGGGATTTTTGCGGTCTAAAATACACTCGCGTGATTGTTCACGTACCTTTGTGAACTATGGTGAGAGCCGTGACTGGTTGTGATTTTTTTTTTCCAGTTTTTATTTTCTCGACGCCTCCCAAAATTGATAATAATAGTAATACCGTTCTGTTCTTGGGCATAAATATGTTTTGGGCCCTTCTCAGAGCTAATTCGAACCCTTGCCTAGCGGCTCGGGCAAAAATGACTTTGAGTGTGGCCCAAAACATATTGATTGTGACTTCCGCAGAAATCTTTGATCTTTATCCAGCATTGGGTACTTTTAGAATCTAGGAAAATAAGACTAGAAAGCTAAGGTGACATTTTTTTTACTTGATAAAACAAAAACTTATGATAGGGGAGAAAATTTGCAGTGTTGATGAGTTAGACTTGACAACGACACTTGTCGTAAAAGATGTAGGGGAAATTCTACTCCATTGAGTTCTTTTTGATTGGTATTCTAACTACTTTAGATGGCGAACAATTATCCTAAGAATGTGCACTTATTAGTTGTTAAGAAAAACTTGCTGGAGTGATCGCAACTCGCCAGAATTGGTTAAAATCTTGCAGACTGATAAATCTATAATGATCGTAGCATGGGGTTTTCTTACAACCTCAAGGTTTTACCTCACAATCGCATTTCAAATTGATATGCATGAACCTGAAAAAAGCTGCTTCCTTCTTCAAATCTCCGGCTTGTGGCTGAGATTTTATGTGACGATAGTGAGTTCGGTAAAAGCTAAACAAAACTGGTCCGTTTACACGCGAAAGCACCAACACTGAATAAGTGCAATGTTCTCCAGCGATTACTCGTTATTAGATAAGTCCATCCATTTACGACAGTACCAACACAGATTAACTGCAACGCTCTACAGTGATTCTTTTGCCATATACGACTCCTTCGTCAAGTCTTCCTTATAGAGAGCCTTCCTTCAACTCTTTTTCGTCTTCCTGTTGATGATAAGAAGTTAAAACAAACGGCAATTCAGTGATCAACAAAATTTCATGTGAAGACATGGAAACTTTACATGATTTAGTGTCTATCACCAACAGTATATGTAAGACAGATAAGAGCAGATTTCCGTCTCTCATTCTTTCCGTACCAGTTTCAGAGAGTGTTTTGCTTTAAGAGAACTAAATTGTGCAGGGCTTATATATTTGTTTAGGTGGATTATCAGGCCAGATCCTAGCACAAATCTGTACGTTACAACAAACAGTTTGCATTACTCCAGTCATCGTTTTAAGCTCAGTGTATTGTCACGTACCATACACGCGGATTTTAGTTTAACAGCCTCTAAGTGAACGTTCTGACATATTCCAGAGTGATTAACCCGAGAAGAAACGACTTCAATTTGATCACCAACTTACCGTGTTCTGTTGATCTTTGGCGGCAGATTCTAAAGAAGAGGACTGACTAAGTATTTTACTGTCGAGGAAAATGCTCGGGATGCTGGGACCAAAGAATATCTTTGTATTTGATGCAATGGAATTGAATTTGATCTGCTCCAGGTATTCAGGTGTGAGTTTTAGCTGCAGAGAAATGGAACACAACTGTATGTAAACTGGCTAAAAACAGTACACGAGAATTGCAACTTAGCTCGAGTTTCCTTTCAACTTTGAACAGCAATGGTAGTCAATTCTCTCAGCAAGACAACCTTTGGTCTCATGCACAAAAACACAAATATACTTAGAAGGAACATCCCGAGAGTGATCTTCAGCAAAAAAGGAATTAGTAAAGACGATGGCTACAACTGCCATAATACGAAAGGGTTGAAAAAGGAAAAATCTTTTCGGCAGCTCTGACCGCGTTTAATAAGTTTCCATCTCACCCCTGTGGTCATTTTTGCCCTAGCTGTAATCCTTGCTAAGTGTACCTACAAACAGTAGATGTAAACATCGGATTTACCTTGTTGGCCTCTGCGAGTTTAACTGCAGTGTAGAATTCAGCATCAGCTCTTGCCTTCATGCGAGCCAAATGGGCACCATCTACAGAGCAAAACAGCAAAATGTACAAGATCTTCCTTAATAATTAAAGGGCCATTTCTCAAAAACTTTAGTTATAGTATCCCAAACTCTCCACTCCTCTTCTAAACTATAAAAAAAGTAACCATGACTATCGAAGATATAAGCAACAATTCTAAGCAGCCATCATTATTATTATTGATACTTCCTGGAAATAAATTTATAATATTTGTATGCTGGCCAACAGGATCAATATCTAATGTTGTGGTACCTCTTACAGCCGAGTCACATCAAAGATGCAACGTTGCTTGAAAAGAAATCAAGGAATTTGAAAGAACAATTAACAGTTAAAAAAAAATGAAAGTAATAAGCCCATTTTACTGACAATGAAGTCCCACTAGTTGTACGTTAGTTTCTTGTCATATGTTATTCATGACCAAAAATTCCCTCTACCTGATCAATTTTCAGAGCACTTGACAACAAGGATTGATAAAGTTATTTCCTATTTTAAATTCAAGAAACACAACCACTTGACACAGGAATATCCACAACTTACATACAATGTGGCAACAAACTCAAAAAACGATCAGAGACAAATAAAAACAACAACACCACAACCTACCCTCAATCTCTGACATTTTCCTAAGGCTCTCTTTTTCCATTATTTTCTGATCAAACTGAATCTTGGATACCTGAGCAGCCTTCTCAGCCTCTGAGTTATGGCAACAAATAGGAAATCAAAACCAATTGTAGGCAAAATGTTGAAAGGAAAGTTAACTGATTTGTGGAAATGCAATTTAAAAACCCTCATGGCATCCATTCTTGGAGTTGTTGCCTTTATCAGGCAGCCACTTTAAATATCATTAAAACCAAGAGAGGACATGACAATAGCTGCTACACAGCACAATAAGCCTGGATTTTGGCTATGAAAAAGGTTAAACAATTAACAATTGGTTCATACATCAGTGTGCGTTCATAGAGATATGAAGCACACCGGAAGTTTGGAGAGCATGAAAGAAGCGTAAGAGTTGTTTGAGGCATAGCCAAGAGCAACTCTAGCTTCTTGAGTGCTCTCCAAACTCCCAGGTGCTTCATATCTCGATGAACACACACCTGACGTATGAACCAATTGTTTTATAACATTTTCAACTAGATGGAGAATTTTTTTTCTGGAAGGATTTGTTAGCTGACGTACGAATATGAAACACGCTCACGCAATTGAATTTGATTAGACAAATTTACTAGCTATGTTATAACACCTGTTGAATAAGTCATTGTGTTGTGAGTTGATCCATCAAAAATTAGCGATTTTATCATTAATAACATTGAGTAACACCTTTCATTTAGATGGGAAAAATCTGTTTTACAGGTACAAAGAAACCAAAGTCATGTAGCTGTATTATTTAAGTTATAATCTGTTCTTTTTTAAAAGAGAATTTAAATGTTTAATACCAATAACAGCTTTCTTGCGCTCTGTCTCTGCCTCTTTCTCAACCACTTTTTGTTTTTGTTGAGCAATTAACAGCTTGGTCTTCTCCCCTTCCCTGCAAGTAAAAAGGAAATGTACAAGATTGAGATGCAGCTGAGTCATTGTGTCGTGTTTCTGGTGAAGGCACTTTACTCTAACAGGACCTCTATCCAATGCAGGGCATAAAATGGGTACTACAGGCAAACTTTCAGAGAAAGCTAATGAGATGCCTAAGGGTAAGATGCCGTGAACTAGCATCCCATCCTGGGGAGAAGTGAATTACAGCAGAAACCTGGATTATTCAAGCTCTGGCTAAACAGGCCACATGTAGGAAAAAAAAAGATGAACGGGTAACTTGACCCAAGTGCAAACTCTAACTTCTTTTGTGGAATTCTCCTTTGTTGTAAATAGGCCTTTCAATGACTTTGGTTTTGGCCTTACAACACTAAATCAAAGCCCTTTACATAGATGCTATGTAATGCTCATTGCTTAAATATGGTCATCTTCATGAGAAAACAATTTACATAGTTTACATACTCCTGGGACAAATATGCACCGTCATTACTGATCATATGAATAAATGAGATTTAAGACATCTACTGTGAATTATGAGAAAAATTTCACAAGAAAAATCATTCTAAAGAGTAATCACTAACTTTTGCTGACTTACATTGCTTCATAGTTACGCCTTATGCTCTCAGGTATCTTAGGCTTGGTAACTCTCACAGCCTAAAACAAAGACAAACATTAAGCTTATCCAATGTGATTTTAATTGGTTTTTAAGTTACAGTGAACATATGTCATAAAACAAATACTCCAATTTGCTTCTCCAAAGCAGGGTGTATAATGTATTGGTGCCATGGATCAGAGTACTTCAGTTTTCCATGAGGGGTTACCGTAACATTCAGTGATAAAAAATGATGACTATACTATAGGTATGATCATAATTATATCATTATTGTCAATGTCACTACTATCTTTAAACCAAATTCTCTAATTCTGACCTGAACTCTTAAACCAGGCGCCATGGCTAACAAATCTAACTGTAGGGCAGTACGCAGATTCTCATCAATTTGATCTGGTGACAAATACAAAAGTAGTAAATAATGCAAGGTAAAAACATTAACATGCGAACAAAAACACTGTCTGGAATAACCAAGACTGATATTAAAAATTAATTATTGATAAATTTTTTAATGAATAACTCTGTCAGTTAATCTTGTGAACTCACCAAAGAGATCTATGTAAACTTCTTGGAGGGTGTGTGCACTGCAAAACTGAAAGCATTGAAGTAAAAGTCAGAAATTTCTCTTTAAATTTGAATATATGAAGCTGGTAAAAGGTAAATGCTGCTATAAATGACCATCATTCTACCCTATTAAGCAAAGGCCTATAACTGGGTTGCTGAGATGGCCATCTCCATCAGGTACATGTAGCTGGCTGCAAAAATGTTGGAGCTTCTAGAAAAGAAGTACCATGCCTCTCAGTAGCCAGCCATACACTGACATACAGATTAAATAAACAGCTTCAAGCTCATATACTCCATATTAAGTTATTTGCTCTATTTAAAACATGATTGACCTACAATTAAAGGAAACATATGAATAAGAATCACCTGGTTCAACTCATGATGTATCTTGTTAAATATCAGTGCTTTATCATAATCTGCTGTGTAATTTCTGACAATATCAAATACTGAAAAAAGAAAACATGAAAATGTGACAAAGTCAAAAGTGTATTTCCAAGCCATTTCTATTTTACATGAACTTTGAATTACCAATTGATAATAAGGGAATAACATGACTTTTTGAGGGAATATTGTTTATTTGAGCCCACGTAGTGTCATTTGCGCAAATGACACTACAAGGGCTCAAATAAACAATATTCCCTCAAAAAGTCATGTCATTATCATTATTATCAATAAACAAGGCCAAATGATATCAAGAATGCGAGTTTTAATAATACAAGCTAAGTGAATGACAAATTTAAAGTCACTTCAAATCATCATGTAAGTGTTGAATGAACAAGCTATTAAAGAATCAACTCAGTCCAGTGAACTTATTGAAAATTACCGAAAAAATGCTTAAAATCATCTATAAATAATAGGCATATCACAAAGTTAACCTTAAAATGATCCATGGGATGATGAAGCAAGAACCAATCAGCTGTAGGGCTGATAATGCATTAGCAGCCCGCTGTCAGTCTTTTGTGGCCCGCTGAACGTGTGTTTTGAAGACGCCGATTTTCTATTTGGCCACGTATATTGATAATAATGATCAATACAAGTTTGTGTAAACTAACTTCTGACAGGGGGATTACATGACAACAATTTCTTAGCCTGGGGTGACAAATTGTTTTTGAATAATACATTGGGCTCTTATTAAGCGATTGCAAATTATTTTTCCTGTTCAAGAAAATAATTGTCACACTATGGCCATTTTGAGATTCTGCTTATAATTTTCCCCCCACAGGGGATAATTTTAGAGAAGGAAATGAGATAGTCCTTGATCAAACATGGCAAGCACATTGCTATAATGTAGGTTCAAAAAATTAATTTTTCACCTGATGAAGATTCAAGAATATTAACAACTTCAATACGATCAAAATAGATGACAACTCCTCCACTGCAACAAAAGTTCAAAGAGTCTCAAAAACTCATTTATATTACAGGCTGAAAAAAAAAAAACAACATAGAAACTGAAAGATAAATAATGTCCTTTTCAAACTGCTAGAAAAATTGTTTAATCAAAAACACTGAAACTCATTCCTGCCATTGATGGCATTAATAGGTGGACAGGTGCCTTTCTCACCAACCTTTCTCTATTCTTGACTTTCTAAAAAAAACTTTCAATTTTCAGTGGTTCAACATAAATCCCTGAATTTACCCTGAACTTGAATAGTTTTCTTTCACCTTATGTTGACTATGTACCTTCTGTACAAACCAAACACAACACTAACCGTTCAAACATCAAGTCATTTGGTTTGATCAAAAGAGTTTCTAAGCTGATATTTTGAGAGCTAGTCCTCCCTTATTTAAGCTGACATTTAATGTCAGCTTAAAAACTCCTCATTGTGGCCAGTTTACTTTGTCAAATCAGTGGATAAAACCAAATCGCCTTATTATACTCCCCCACAAACCCAGCACCACAGTTTCTTTAGAAACGTACCTCCTTTAAACATTAAGTTATGTTCGCATATCATTTAACAATTCTACCAACCTTGTTCCACATGGGACATTTTTTACTTCATCAGTCTGCAGAGTAGTCTGCACTGAGCGGAACATTGTTAAGAATGGAATCATAATGTGATATCCTGGTCCACTGGTTGATGATAGCAATGCACCACCCTATGAGACAAATAGTAACAGAGGAGTCATGAAATGGCAATAAATTTAGTTATATCCAAATGATACTCTCTACCTTAATTAGCAGAAGCCATATTAACACTAGCACTAAGTGGACTAAAGGTTCTTATTTTTGTCCATTTAGTTTTAACTGTACATGCATGTACACTGGTTGTGTCATGGAGAGCCAATACAGGCATTAAGTATTGAAAAACTTAATAAAATATATAAAGGTCTTTTTTTCTTGCCTGAAGTGTTGCTTGAGTTGTTCTTGTCTTAAATTAGCAATTTTAAGCCATTTGAGAAATTTCTCCATTCATAACTAGGAAAGATGATAAGCTTGTCATATCCCTTTATGGAGAAATTTCTCAAATAGCTTGAAATTGCTGACTAAGCATGAGAACAGCATAATCAACACTTCAAGCAAGTAAAAACACTTTAAATTATTTTTATGAAGTTTTTTGTAGGAAGTGCTTGTATGGGTTTCCAATGAGCATTTGAGGAATTATTGAACTCACTCGATAATAAACTCCAACATGACCTACAATAAGGTAAAAGCAAATAATTAGTGAGGTTTTACAGAATATCACTAGTCACAATGATGCCTGCCTTTAAAAATATCACCAAAACACAGTATTCTTTCAGAATTTTCCATGCTTATCAATATGGAATCATCTAATGAAGACATAAATGTTTTGGGGGGAAGGGGACACTGGGGGTTATCAATTAGGCACTGAGAAACACTCTTGGGAATTTCCATGTTTTTTCGCATCTCTGTATGATCCTTCAACCTCCTCTAAATATCAAAAGGCTCTAAAAACACAATGTATGGTACACACTATATTCTCTACCACCAATTTGCCAGATTTTATGCAGATTAAATGCATGAATATTAATTTTTTTTGTTGGCACATTTGATATTCATGAATTTACCTATATTGTTTATTACACTCTCATTACTGGTTAAAGCCCTTAGCTACCAGGTATTACATAGGGAAGTTCTTCTTACAATAACAATACAATGTCACGAAGAGAGATAATGAGATTAATGATAAAATATCTGCTGTGAAACATCAGTTGATTTCACACCAAACTCTCAGAGTTGAGATTATGAGGAATGTATGAAGGACAACACAGTAAACTGGTATGAAAATATAATAAAAGAGCAAGGGTTAACACCACCATTGTCTCATTCTTTAAAATTGCATGCTACGTGCTTAGCTCTGCTTTCTTTGTTTCATTTCTACTTATTAATTCATAGACGCTGGCAAACCACCTGCATTGTTAGCTTAAGCTTGTGAATAATAATTAATTTCCCTCTGGAATTACAGCAAATTTTAAAATTATACTCTGTTAGCTTATAGAATTCGCACTCAGTCAGCTAAGAGAAGACGGGAGGGTAAAGCTAATCTTCACTGCATTTTTCGTTAAGCATTAGAATAAAACTCTCAGCTGTAGAGGAAACGAGTCGGAATGATAAGATACTTTAGCGTCTCTCCTGCAGCTCTTACGATACGGTATCATTATTAGCTAAGAAAGTACATCATTGATATGCGCCACTTCAACCAAAAAAAAGGGGAAATTAATCTCTTAGAAGTACATAATTTCCTCACAATAGCAATTCTTTCGGGCCTTCAAAGAAAACGTGCTGATTCCAAATGAGGCTTCTTGAAAAAGCAAAACGAAACTGGACAAAATCATGTGAAATGCATTTTTCAATGCAACCAAAATCTCTGGTTTTTATGTTTCGAACTCTTCTCTCACCTTCATCTATTTTATGGACGGAGAAATTGAACAACATTGCAGCCAGTCCTAGGATTATTCCAGTGACAACTGCGGCGGCCATTGTGAAAGCAGAAGGAAAGAATTCCCGTGATGCTATGCAGAGTGAAGGTGTCTAACGCGGTACTAGTCCTCTCGCGACATTTCAAGCCTCAGGCTGATTAGCCTGAAATTCAAATAATATTCATGCCTGCTTATTGTCTTTATCAATTTTCATAGTGTAAGCTCTGGAGGATATTTTTTATCGATTGAATAGGAAAAACCCGCAGGATTGTAGAAAAGCGAAGCGTCGAGGTCGAAGAGGTTGCGTGGTCACGTGATACTGGTTGGTACAATCGATCAATCATTGAAGAGAATAACAAAGTTGAGAGGTCTTCAAACATGGCGGGCAGTACATCTCCGGTTTCGAAGCAGGCATTTCACGAGACCTACGAGCTAAAGGAAGAACTGGGAAAGTAAGTAGCTCTGCAGATCAGCTTTCACTGGAAGTGGCTGTAGAATTTATTCTTATTTTACGGTTGTCCTTCGCAGAGGTGCATTCAGTATTGTTCGTCGATGTGTACATAAGGAGACGAGACTTGAGTATGCCGCCAAAATTATCAACACCAGAAAATTATCATCCAGAGGTAAGAAAACCGGATTTGGTTTTTTTTCACATTTACTTTAAAATTGAAGTTTTTATTATAAACTTGTTATCGAAAGGCGAGGTACTAAAGTTAAAAATTGTTTTTAATTTTTTGAATGAACTTGCAGCAAATTTTATTTGGAATCTTTTCGGGATTCTCTACTTAGAAGAGCGAAGAAATAAATTTGTCAGGAAACGACTTATTTTCTATGGTTTTTTTTGTATTGCTGTGGCAAGGTTACTCTTTCGCATCTACTGAATTCGAACGTGTCTCTTATTTTCAAGGATGTAAAGAATATTTCAAATGAGGAATGATTCAAAGGGAAATTGTTTATGTTATTTAGAGGTCGCCTACAAGGTGTATTTTTGGGAATATACTTTGTATTAGTTTTCGAAAAGCACGGACAAATGGCTACCATAAATGATACATCGAAATCTAAACCAGATGTTGCTGTCGATCGAAAGTTTGACCAGAGTGAATTAAATATTTTAATGCCAGAAAGAGCCAAACATCACTTCACAGTGGGAGAGTCCGCGTAGATTTCACCTGTGCGCGCTCTACACTCTGATATTTACTCAGATAACTTCTCTAATATATTTTACTCCTCATTCATTAGATCTTCAGAAGCTCGAACGAGAAGCCAGGATATGCCGCCTACTAAAGCATCCTAACATTGGTGGGTATGGAATAGGTTTAAATTACGGTAAATATCACGCGAAGGAAATTGGAAGGTTCACAAATTGAGATCCTTGTAACTTTGAAAATGTTCTTTGTAATGCATAATTTTCTTAATATATATGTTAGCCAGAGAGTTCTATTGTTTCTGGACGGGTGACTTTCTAGAAGTCTTCCGTAATTTTATTCGCGGGTCCATTTTACGCCTTTAGACGAACAGCGGCTTAAATGTCTTCAAACGGCGATCAGCTCAACAACTGTGTAAACACAGAAAATACATTTAATACATGTCATCAGCGGTGCGCACGGCAGCAAGTCACTCTATTTAAGAGGTGATATGTTGAAATTCCCTCGCTAAGAGACAGAAACAACTCATAATTGTCAACATGAAGTTTTTGCATGTGAAGATGCAAAGCCTCTCCCTTTATATAATGTTGGAGGCGTGTGAATTTGAATGTTATTGATTCGTTTGTGTTGTTCATGTCAAACTGTGATGACTTCCCACTCATCATCATCAAACCCCGCAGCCCTGCACGGTAGCGATCTATCGTTGGTTTACGACTCCGTAGTTGTTAATTTGAGCTATGACACAAATTTACATCGGCAAGAACTGTCTGGATTTCTGCTTCAGATAAGATTCCTCTTTTCGGTTTGCGGAGGTGGTGGAGTTGATTGCTTTTTAATTTAGTGAGACAAAAACTTTTACCCAGCTGCAGGTTATCCGAATTTACGAGAAAAACTTCTTTCCTGTTTTTGAAGATAAAAAGAAGTATTTTTTCTGTAGCTAAGGTGGAACCTAATTGTTTCCTTTTGTCGTCTCGTAATTATAAATGTTCTAAATACTATGCTTCCATATTTTCCTAAGACAATTGACGCTCATGAATCGATTTCGCGGGAAGAGTAACTCGATATGTCATGTGAAACAAATTTCGAACATTACATCGTTTTGCACTCATTTTTTATATTGCGTTTTGTGGGAGAGAATTCCGAAAACTTAAGATGAGTAAAATTTCGAGAAAATACATGTTTTCTTTGAGCTGACTTTTGTCTCAGCAGCCAATAAATCAAAAGCGTCGTGCTGCGCATACATTTTATAGATTTATTTATTGAATTTACATAAATGAATGCTGTTCTCTGCGAATCCGATGCATTTTTAATTCATTCTTTGAAAATAATTGATAGGTAGTACGTCGCATAGGAAGCATATTGAACAAGAGATGTGTGCATGTGAGTCACTGATAGAGAGAGAGCAAGACTGAATCTGTCAACCATTGAGAACCAAAATTAGGCGGGTAGAGGAAGGCGTCAAAACTTGAGACAAATTGAGTGTAATTAATGAAGTTGGATCAGTCCATCAATTTCCTAATAATTTTTCATTTGCTTGGGACAATATGGCAAATGGAAGTTCTCTCTGATGTCTGTTTAGGATGAGTTTTAAGCTATCTTATTGCCATGTTGGCAGAATGTTTGGGCTGATCAGAAAGGTTTATAGGAAAACATATACTCATGTTAATCATCAAGAATTGTAGATTAAATAAAATGTTTCAAGATTAAAGGTAACACATGGGTATAGGATCAAAGTAATTAGCACTTATTATGCAATTTGCTCTATTTTCTTTTTCTCCTTTAGCACTATTTTATTTAGTGCAAATTAGTTGACCTTCATTTCCATTAATTTGCTAAATCTTTTTTTTTTTTTTTTTTTAAATCATATGATTAATTTTTTCTTCTTGAGAGGATTGTCCTACTTGATATTTGGGTTCCCTGAGAACAAGAAATATCTTAGAGAAATTAATTTCATTTTTCTTAAGAGTCAGTTTCTACTAGTTGAAAATTCTTTCATTCAGTATATGTACATTTGTATTTGTAGCATGATAATGCTATTAATTGTGACCCAGATGTCAAAGGAAATGTCAAAATTTGTCTTCAGCTCAAAGGGAGCAATGTGTCATGAAAAGGTCAATATCCATATGGGATGTGACTTTATGCTGTTTATTATTCATCAAAGGGACATGGATGTATGCTGTTTTAAAGATGTTCTCTAATTTATTTGTTTTTTATGTCTATTGAAGGTGCTTTTTAGAATGATTTTCTTTTTCATGCTTGTTGTAAAGTGCAAACAGACATTTGCTCAGCATTAGTAAATAAATAAATTTAGTGATTGTGATTATCTGAAAGCAAGTATGTCAGAAATGTTCTGATTGGGGTGATCTTTTCTTTACAAGGTACATGTACATCTTCATGGATTTAGAACTGTTCTTCAACCATCACATGTACTTAACTCTTTACTTAGCCCTCGAAAAGCTGTTTTCATAAGAAAATAAGCAAAATAACCTGAAATAATTTGATAAGTTTACATTGAAAGCCAATTAAAGGATTTATATTTTTAGAATGCAGAACAAAAAGATAATTCAAGCCTATTTGCTGTTCCTGGTAAATGGAAAATAATTCTTGCCTATAGGTGATATACAGCACAACTTTTTTCCGACTCTTTAAATGGTCAAATTGATCCGTATTATCTTGGACACTTTATTGTGTGGGATGGGCAGCAGAATGTTTTTTATTGGTTATGACTTGTTCAGAAATGTAATGAACAGTCCAGAGAGTATACTATTTTAATGAAAGCTATAAGAATTTATGTTTCCAGCCCTCTCTCACAAACAAAATATTGATTTAGGCATAAATTACATTAAATTAAGGTGGTTCTGAAAAGCTAGGCTTATTTGATTCTTACAGTGGAACTCTACAGAGAGATGCATCTTCATAATTATTCTTTTTATGATTTGATATTTACATGTAAAAATCAGGGGCTATGGAACTTGTTTTTTGAGTTAAGGCTCATCAAGTTGATATTTTAGAAGGAGGCATTATTGCCATGGTTGTTTCATAGGATGATGAAAAGACCTTGACTTGATTAAGTGATGTTTGAGAATTTGTTTGAGTTTGATTGAAGATCCTATATAATTTTATGTCTTAATTAAGCAGTCACTTTGCAATGTCTTGTAAACTGTTTACGATCTGGCAGTGTAAGCCTCAGTTTAATTTGATTTTGTCTCATATCCTTACAGTTAGACTTCATGCTAGCATTGCAGAAGAAGGATACCACTATCTAGTGTTTGACCTGTAAGTCTTGACACCTACAATGCAATATCTGTTTTGTGTTGTTGAATAATGGTGCCTCTTTAATAGAGGATAGACTCTAGAATGGTCAGGAGCTTTACAAGTGTTTTCCAGGGATTTTTAGTGTCCAGCCATTAAAAAATGGTGTGAGTTTAATTTAGATTCAGGCAGGTAATTTACTGCTTTGTCTGATATAAGTATGGGTGCTTTCAAAGAGAGAACCCAGTGCAAACACCTGTTGCTGGTGCCTCTGGAGAACACTACTATTAATGATAATTGAGACTAGTAGAAGCTTGTACATTGTGTGCATTATACACCATCCAGATAACCCAGGTGTTTAGCAATTGGGAAAAAAAAGGGAAGAAAGTTTATGGGGAGGGGAGTAAGGGGATGAGACAGCAAGTTGGTGACAAATCTACTTATAGTACTCTTTGCCATAGTATGGCTTATGTGATGACTGAGTTTAAAGGTACCTGAATCTTAGAGATGCTTACCACTGTTCATATATCTATACTGTGTTGTCAATTTAGTCTGAATTGCATTTCATGGTGCTTGATGTTGTTAATCATGATGCATTCTAACAGATTGTTATTTGTACTGCAGAGTAACAGGAGGAGAATTGTTTGAAGACATTGTTGCAAGGGAATACTATAGTGAAGCTGATGCAAGGTAGAAATATTTTCTGTTTTAATTGATAGGTGGCATAAGTGAATTATTTTAAGAGTTGCAGAAGGTTTCCTAAGGTTCCTTACCATTAAAAGTGACCAATATTGACAAACATAATGGAAAAATGTTTCTAAAATTAATACTTTACATAAAGATCAAAAAAGGTAAAGTTATAACTGAAAATACCCAAGGGGTGAAAGTTTTCATCAGATCAAGAAATACTCTCTGGGAGAAGAGAGGATATTTAGTGGAACAATGCACTGTATATTAGAATTAAACTTTGACATTCCCTTTATTTTCTCTTTTAAGTCACTGCATACAGCAGATACTTGAAAGTGTTCATCACTGCCATCACAATAATGTAGTTCATCGCGATTTGAAGGTATAAGTTCTATCTCTTCTTTATCAACTGTAATGATTATTTACAAAGGTTGTTTGTTTTATTAAATCCACAATTATTGATTCATGAGCTGCATATATGAAAATTAGATTTGATTTTATTCATTTTGCTGTACTCGTATGTAGCCTGAGAATTTACTTCTTGCAAGTAAAGAAAAAGGTGCAGCTGTCAAGCTAGCTGACTTTGGGTTAGCCATTGAGGTGGATGGTGACAAACATGGTTGGTATGGTAAGTGTCCGTTGTGAATAGGTAAGATGGGTGTAGGGTAAATGCACACACTCTGTACCCCTGTGTGGAGCAAATCATGTGTGATTTGGAACACAATGGAAGCCACAAACCCTGTGAGGTGAGATTCCTAAACCTCATTAGTACCTTACTTCAAGCTACTTGTAATTATCTTTTGATGTTATTTACTTCAGGTTTCTTAATGAGCTGGCTTTTAAAGTTTCAAAGTATAGGGCTGTTGAATGTTTGATTGGACTATCAGACGGTAATCACCAAACTAGAAGGAAGAGAGGAATTTGGTGGATGTTAATTTTGAGTGACATACTTCATAATTACTGTAAAGTCCAGTCACTTCAGGCTTTTTTCCACACACCTATTCAACACAACAGTCACTAAATCACTCGACTTTGGCTCACTAAAATTTAACTTTAATCCTGAGTGTTACTTACTGATGCCTGTTCTGCAGAAATATCTGATGACAATGCCAGGGGCTACCAGTAATTTTCATGTTCATAGGTCATTCTGAGAATGCAACTCTTTAAAACACTGTACAGGTGCTCTTAGACTGGTTTTAATTTTGCAATTGTTTGTCCTTTGTAGGTTTTGCAGGAACACCAGGTTATCTCTCTCCAGAAGTCCTCAAGAAGGAGCCTTATGGCAGATCTGTGGACTTATGGGCATGTGGTAAGGGAATTGGATGCCAGCCCATTCAATGCTACTTCTTGAATTTTGTTTAAAATTGCAGTAACATGTCTTCTGGCTCAGGCTTTACATGACACTTTGCTTGATGCAACATAGAAGTCATGTACAGCTGCATAGTACTTAATGTACTCTCAAAGATGCAGTATGCATATACTGTATGCATATATAGTACCTTGATGTGGTAAATTGTCAGAATTTTATTTTTATTTTACTCTGTCTTATTACATCGTGAACTTAGTGTTACTGGATGGTTTATTTTCAGGTGTTATCTTGTACATTCTACTTGTTGGTTACCCTCCTTTTTGGGATGAAGACCAACACAAATTGTATGCTCAGATTAAGGCTGGCGCTTATGATGTGAGTTGATTCAGTTTGGCTTGTATTCTATTTATTTTAACCATTGGTGTTTTGTCTCTTTGTTTTTAATGCTGAGAAACTAAAGATCAATTAACAAATAACTGACTCATAAATTTAAAATCTTATGCTAAGGAAAATTAATCCAGACCTTATGAGTGTGGCATTCACCGTTTTTCCTAGGGATTGGGTCTAGCTCATCCATTCATTGCAAAATTCAAACATTGTAGGACTTAATCTCTTCTATTAAAGATCAAGAACTTTATTTAACTGCGACAAATCATCCAGTTGAGACAAATATTTATGATTGACTGATTCATGGTGGTGCCACTGATAATATTTGCAAGTGAATGTTTTTGGATATTTCCTAACCTTTTTGTTGTGTTTAGTATCCATCCCCAGAATGGGATACAGTCACAGATGAGGCAAAGGTCAGTGATCCTTGGAAGTCCATTACCCTCTCTCTTTCTCAGTGTTTCTTTGCCTGTGAGTCGATATACGGGCCTTGATCAAAGCGAGCCGGCGAGAGGTTTACAAGGGGTCAGGCACTAGAAATGATTAATTCAAGACCTCTTCTCAAGGGCTCAAACTAATTTGCGAGCGAAGAAACGCTCTTACTGAAGCGCTAATTGTGAAGGCTTCTTAGAAGGTTATATTAAATAATAGTGGGCTGGAATCCCGCTGTATCTTACTCAGAGTCAAGCGACTGATAAGGTGGCATTTGGATTCGTCATGACACAGTTCCATGTGCACAATACTGAAATAGGAGATAAAGACAGCTATGATAAACAGTTAGATTACTGAGGCTACTCCCTGTCCATCACGGAATAGATAGCAAGTAGCCTAGCCAATCAGTTTTCAGTATTTGTGATAGAAGACGGCTAGAAGGCGAAGGCCTTACCACGGGTGGCACGAAAAAAATTCCGGACCGCGGTCTCTCTGGTAAAAAAAACTTGAGCGCTCATGGGTGCGCGATTAGCCAGTCAGATTCGAGAATTTAAGATTACGAGTTACTCAATGTGGAAGAGACACAGTCCTCGCCTTATTTCCCTATTAATTCGGAAATTGTGTTTGTTTGTTTGTGTGTTTTTTTACACAGGAGCTCATTAACACTCTGTTATGCGTTGATCAGTCCAAAAGGATAACAGCTACAGAAGCGCTGAAACATCCGTGGATCGTGGTATGTCTCTGTACCAACTTCAGTTTGGTTTTTCGCCTTTTCCAGCGCATCAGGCAATCTTTCTGTTTGTGCTTTGAATTTTAATAACCTTATTGTGATGGTTCTTTTGTTCTGAATATCCGTTGTGGTGAATGTAATTTAGGTTTTTCAACACTCGATCGACAACCACCTCTCTGAAAGCGGTAAATTTAGGTTAGTGTAAATGACAAAATTGATGAATTTCATCATTTAGAACCGTGAACGTGTGGCCTCCAAAGTACACAGACAAGAAACGTTGGACGGATTGAAGAAATTCAATGCTAGAAGGAAACTTAAGGTAATAGCTGTTTTTTCAGGAATGAAAGCTGAGAACTTCGCAAAAGGAAATGAAGTTATGGTTGAAGTTCACAGATTAATACGAAGGGAATTAATCTTTCCGCAACGGAAATTGAGTTATTAAATCTGAGGGAGAAATTGTCACCCACGCGCCAAACGTTAAATGACTTTGAAACTTGATTTTGATTCCAGTTGATTCGTTAACAGGAACTGATTGATTTTTATTTTGATTGGGTTCTGTGTGTACTGTACACAGCTGTATCTGTTCTATTTTGCTTCGTGTATAAATTGCCGAGATAAGTAAAGGCTTTCTTTATCAGCAGGGATCACATGAAGATTTTGCTGTAGTGAGAGAAGAATACTGAGCAATACAAATTGCTTGAAATGAATGTTAAGCTTTACTTACAGACCGTTGTAAACAAACAGAATAACAAAAAGACTAACGGACAAACAAATGAGAAAACAAACAGAGAGTTACGACTTTGAAAGCCGTATAATTTATTAACACTAAGCTGTTTTTAAGGCCGGGTTTCTCTTTAATTCGCCCTCTGAGAATGTTGTTCAATCATTTGTTCTTTTCTTTTTCTCTTATTCTTATCTTGTGTCTTTCTTTCCTGACTGAGATTTGTTTGATGTTTCTTCAGGGCGCAATTCTGACCACTATCCTGGCAACGAGTAATTTTAATCTTTCTTCAGGTATAATTACTATTCTGCTTGGAGTTTCATTGATGTCACAATATTGTTGTTGTTTCAGGGCGCCATCTTAACAACCATTGTGGCTCGTAGGTTTTCTGCTAACTCAGGTAAATCACGTCACAATAAATATAAATGCTTTAAACGTAAACATTTTGTGTCGAGTCGTAGAGGATTTAAAAACTTTAGTGGACATAAACCTTTTACTAGTTGAATTTACCTAAACCCATTGAGATGCTTAAGTTTCCAAGCCCTTTGAAAATAAAGAAGCGCATTTCCAATAGAGATCAAGTCGTAAGGACGGATACAGGAAAACTTTTCCTAGAAAAAACCCCAATGGTATAGTTTTTCATAGGTATTAAGAGATTAAGTTGACTTTTTGTCATGCATGTGTGTTTCTGAATAAATCTTTGCATAAAGTGGTAAAATACTGAACACTTGCGACATATCTGTGGTCATGTTTAGTATCTCAGTGTTACGTTCCAGCCCTAAATGGCGTATTAGTGACAGTCTTATAAACGAGACTAACCAATCAGCAACCTCATCTGACCAATCGCGATGCCTGCAGTCAATGCGTTGAACTGGAGCCGAGGGCGGGAAGCCTTAGTTTGCAGCATGTTACAGTGTCGACCTTAAAAATGTTTAAAATTGTCCAATTGAGAAATAACTCTCGTAAAGCTTTCTTTGGTTACAGGAGTTAGCTTTCGTTCGCTTATCTTTACTTGTTAATTTTGAGGTTAACGTCACATCTCGGTGTAGACCATGTAGTAACATGCATATGGTACACCGTAAACTACACGGCTCTTCTTTAAAACAGGAAAAAAAAAACAACAACAAAAAAAAACACCTCTTAATGCTTAGGACATTTGCGATAAGATGTACACTGGCGGTTAAAGCTTCCTGTTGGTCTGACCGCTTGGTTGTGTTACGACGAAAGATCCTAAAGTTACGAAAATATGATGTTGTGGTATATGGTATATAAACAGCTAAATTCAAATAAAATGTTAAAATCTTAGAAGATGTGAGCCCTGTAACCATTTCTCTTAATTCATCTCATTTTGTACTAATCTAATGTGGCCCAAACACGCTGCTCTTCATTTGAACCTCAGCTGTTTCACATCCGCGCTGCTAATATACAAGACAGTTTGTACTTTGTTATTGGTCTCAAAGAAATGAGTTTATTGACAGACTTCACCCCTCACGCCCCGGGCTGAGTTAATGTCTTAAAATGAAGGCTTGAATTGGGGGAAAAGGTTGATCTCGTCCTGGAAAGGGTAGTTCAGAGAAGGACTGGTGTCGGTTATAGGGCGTGGTGTTTCAAAAACCTGAGAGGAAATTCACATCTTAATCAAGCGGAGAGTTATTTGTTATTGACAGGATCTAACTCTTTCACTTTCTATGAGTGACCTAAGAGGAATTTCTTCTTAAAAAGTCGATTTGAATGTATCTTAAAGCTGGGGGTGATGAGAAGAAACGGATGGGCCGATTTACAGAGCCACTGAAAGTGATGAAAATGTCTTACAGACTTTTCTGAGGAAAGATATTTAGATCTTGGATTTGAAAGGGTTAAGTCTGGTTAGTCGAGAATCATCGGCCAGTAATAACAAATCTTAAAACATTCAAAATTTGGTTCCTTTCAATCAGACTTGAAAACAAGATGATGTGTGAAATGAGATTGAGATAAACAACAGTTTAGTCCACAAACATACAAATGCATCGTTTCAGGTTTTGCTTAAGCACTTCTCATCTCATTATCATTGTTAGGATTGCTATCATCACCATTATCATTCATCATTTTTTTCGTTAAAATTTTTTCGTCATTTTCATTCTTATTCCTATTATTGCTATTATTATTATTATTATTATTATTGTTACAATTGTGATTGTTGTTTTTTAAGCAAGTAGTCGTTTGTATCATTGTTATTTTCAGTTCGACCTTTTGTCAGTAAGAAAAAGGGATCGGATGAGGAACTTACGGTTCATTCTGAAGATGAACATGAGGTTGACGTGTCAGCAAATAAAGGTTAGTAATTAATATGCTCCGTTATCTAATCCAAAGACCGATCTTTATGGTCTAAGGTTTCAAGGCGTACTCATCCTGTTTTTTTTTTTTTTCCTTTTTGCGAGCGTTTACTCAGAAGGCCGAAAAACTCAAAATATTGCACGTTCAACGCATTTAAGGTCAGAACTGCTGGTCACTCGTAGTCTCTCACGGGCTCATCAAGCAACACTCTTCTACTTCCTGTGATAACTCAAAGAAGGGCTGCTTCAGACCGTATTTTAAAATGTTATTATTTCAATGAAAATACAAGAATAAGCGCTGTGTGATGTTTATTTGTCTCACAGATCTTTGTCAAGAGTGATTATTTTGCGCCCTTACCTTTGTGTCACTAAATTATTTAGCTTACATGAACATTTTCTTTCAGCCAAAGAACAGCACATCATTCAACTTACTCAGAAGTTGATAACTAGTATCACGACTGGGGACTTCGACACCTACAGGTATTTATTTTTGTTAGATACCGTTAAAATATGACAATTGCTAAGCTTTTCCAGCTTTTCTGCTCCACACAAATTGACACTCCAAATGTCAGTTAGACTAAGAAACAGTGAACGAGCTGGTCCTTGGTCGAGTTCTTTTCAGGAAAATTGTGGTAAATCCTACTTCATTTATTTCACTTAATTGTTGGCTATCTAAGCTTTGATTAAATCAAACGTTATGAGAAAGATTTGTTCCCACGCTCGTGACAAGACGAAAAAAACATCTTTCTCTATTTCTTTACCGTGCTCAAAACCTACCATCTCTTTTATTTCTATCTAAAAACATTGCGCTATCGACATTGCTGATCCTAGCAGTATGCAGGACGCGTGTCATAAAATTATGAACTTCGTAATAGACCTCACTTACTGTGGAGTCTCTGTGGCTCAGTGGTAGAGCATCGGAGCGCGGAATCCGAAGGTCTGAAGTTCGATTCCTCATGGGGACTTAGAATTTTTTCTTTGTCCCACGCTCGTGATAGTAAATGTTGTTGCTTTGATCTGTTGCAGCAAATTAGTAGACCCACATGTGACAGCGTTCGAACCTGCATCTAATGGCAACTTAGTTGAAGGCTTAGAGTTCCACAAGTTTTATTTTGACAATTGTAAGTCGAATTTATTTACTTTTTCGCCTGGTTCCCTTTGTTCTCTGATTTTCCTTTTAATTCCCCGAAATAGAAATAGCATGTTTAAGGTTTTACACATCACGGTTTTGCACATCACGGTGTTGCACATCACAGGTTTGCACATCACAGGTTTGCACATCACAGTTTCGCACTTCACTGATTCGTATTTTTCCCTGTTATCTTCATGTCGTCAAATTTGAGCTACATGTTTGTAGGGTCTGTTACAGTAAACGCGAATGAACTTAAGAAATCTTGCAAACTTTTTTCTTTCCGCTAGACCTTTTTTAATTTAGAAATTAACTTACAGGAAGAAAATAAGGAACTTTTTGGAGACACGGACAGAAACTGGGAGGTCCTCGTTTTATCATCTCAAACCAAATGATACACACCAAAAAACACTTAAGTATGCGCCAGGAGAAAAGAACTCTCAACTTCCAGTAGCCGTGCGCGTCTCCAAAACGTCGATGCTGAAGCTCTCTTTTATAAACACCAGATGAACTAATTTTTGTTATCAATGAATCTCGCTCCGACAGTTTATAGTATTGCATGATTATTCTTTTGATGATTTAAAACTAGAGGACTTGGAGAGCACTGCGTCTCTTTAATAATGGATTTTTTCCTATTTTTTATTTCAATTTATTTAGTGCTCGGCAAAAGAGCAACTCCAGTCAATACAACTATTTTGTCGCCCCACGTACACATGCTAGGAGATGAAGCTGCTTGTATCTGCTACGTTCGGCTTCAACAGTTCATAAGCAGGTGAAAACTGGTTACTTCAATCCAAACATCTATCCCATAGAAGTTTTAATAGTCGTGATATCTCAGAAATGCAATTCTATTGAAATGCTCTGAGGTTAAAAAACGATTTTTGTCAGAAAAAGCCTTTCTTACGAAGTTGGTCGATCGGTTGGTTGGTTGGTAGGATAATAGATTGCTTGTAGGTAAATCCTGTTTAGAGGTATTTGTGATGGTAATAGGACTGAGTGCTGAAATCGAGCAGGTGAAAACCAATTACGCTCCTGAATTTTGTTACAATTTTGATTGACTGTACGTCTTTTTCTTTCGTAGTGCTGGTGTACCGTTGACAAGGCAGACGGAAGAAACACGAGTCTGGCAGAAAAAGTCTGGACATTGGATCAACGTACATCTACACATATCAAACGCGACATGCAGTCCGAAAAGTTAAGACGAGTTGGCTGCACATGGTAATTCCTGACGTCATTGTAATGGCGGAAGTACTTTAGCGTATGGCGCTTTGAAATAATACACGAACTGAGTGGCACGTGACTAAGCAGGACGCCCGCAATACATGATGGCCATTGACTTTTGTCAAACTAGTAAAATTGAATCGCAAAAAGGTTGCTTATACTAGAACATAATGCTTGTTTTAAACTGTGTCAACTTGTATTTTAAGAAATAATATTACTGCGTTCTGCCGCACCATGTAGTAATATCCGGCTTTTGGTCATGATTTTACGGGATGTTTGGTAGATTTTATTTCAAGGTTGTAAATACTATCTAAAGTAACAATAGGTTTCTTTCAATGCTGCAATGTAGTTATGAAAACAGTCACTTTCTCCAATGAAGGCCATGGAAATGTAGGCCGAGTCCTCACAGTTGGAAGTTATTTATTTATTAATTTTTTCCCGAATTCAGGGATTATTGTTGCATACAATTGTTGGAAATGTTGGAATTTTCTCAGTGTGTTATTTGAATGTCGATTATGTAGGTGTGGTAAAAGAAAAGTTGCGTGATACAATAGAATCTAATTTTTAATTGAATTTAGGAATTTTAATTTTAAAATGTAATATTTGGGGTATGATGAGGGTTTAACTACTTCACAAAAATATTTTACAAGTTGTTCTAGCTTGTTATTGAATTACAAACTATATGGCGCAAAACAAAATTAATCTGTTATAAACAGTAAACTCAATAGTAGGAGGGAAATATTTGGCGCTTAAAAAGGTTTAACAGTTTTATTATTATTATCATTATTATTATTATTATTATTATAATCGTAAGTCATTATTATTATTATTATTATTATTATTATTATCAGTGTATTATGATAATCTTTATTGTCATTGTTATAACTACTAATATAACACGTGTTACATTTCAAGTAATTAACAGAGAATTTTCGAATGAATGTCAAGTTGCAAAACCAGATCCAAGGTTATTCTCACGGCCGATCAGAACAAAGGAAATAGTAGCGGGAATTCTATTGAGAATTTCTTTATTCCGACAACCGATTAATTGCATTTAGGTAATTAACTGAATTTAAGCAATTTAGAAGTTCATGAAACCTGCTGGCCTTTGAAACTGTCATTCATATGTCAACTTCCATCGGACATAATTAATACGCGCAGATTATAGTAGTAGTACATTTACAGTAGGCGCTCATGTTTTACTTACTTCCAGGATCAAGAGTCAGAGAGAAAAATTTGTTAGCTTTGCTTACTTAGGATTTTTGGAATTGTCCATATTTCGTGAATTTCGTCGTGCCTGTCAACTTAAGAGGCCCCCGTCAAGGTCTTTGGACAGGTTGCAAGTTTTCTGTAGTGTTCGTGTCTTTGTTACCGTTAATTTCGTCGGGACATTCGTCTCTCAAGACAAATATCCAGGAAGGAATGTCATGATGTTTTAATGTAATTTTTGTCACTTGTCTTTTTACCAAAACATGTCTAAAAGTCGTACACTTCGTAACTTTGAAACCAAGTCCAACCCGGGACTTAGCACTTTATTAACAGACCAAAGCGCAAGTCTCTATGTGGATTTAAGTTACACTATAGCTGCCCTAATCTCTCCATGACCATCTAATTATCTCTTTTCAACAGCAATTGCATTTTTACAAGTAAAAATTTTGTGCCCAAGGCCAAATTCTTATACTAGTAGTACTAATTATCGATTTAACCTTTTACATTGCGACAGATTGTCCTTGAAGGAGGGCACACGTCGCGCTATATATCTGTTGCAAAATTTACTGTAGTTTTCTGTGCCAGCTGAAATAATTCAAACTGTAATTGATGGATAGCTCATTGCTTCAAATTAAATAAAGATGGCCGTGGCTTTGGTGGTCTTATGGCGTCTTTTTGGCTGAAATCAGCTCACAATTTTGAAAAACGCCCGCAGAAAAATGGGTGGCTTTATCAGTTGTCACCTACGAGCGGGTTCTCCTCCATCTTGAGGTTGAGCGAAGTCGATAAATTCTTCAGCAAGTGAGTACAAGTGAGGGCGCTACACATTAGTCGCTTGTGAAAAGAAAATGTCACATAGGTCTACCGAAAATACCGACAAAATTGAGCCTTACAACCTTTCCTGTTATTCAGGGCTTATCCCAATTTCCGTGGCTTGTAGCCACCAGATGTAAAGCTACCCTCGCTGGATGAAGCACCAGTCCATCGCAATTCACCTTCAACATTTCATTTTGTTATATACCTAAACTTTCAGTTAACAAAACGAGCACTGTGATTGGTTGATTCTTGGTCAAGTGCCCCTAATCAAATTCAAATGTATCCCGTCCGGGATACCTTTGCGGAGCTCGAGTTGTTGCCCGCGCGCCAATTTTGCCACATGATTGTTTCAGGGAAAGTCTATATATTTAACAAAGCACTTAAGGTATAGTCCCATCGGGAAACTAGTTAGTTTTGTTTTCCCTCGAGTCCTGATGTTTCCAGGTAATTTAGTGTTGACGAAGGGCTAACGCTCGAAACGTCGGCTTTTTTACCCTTTACGGTGGCTAATTTACGTTTTCAACCCAGTTGTTAACACTGAATTACCTGCTATAGTCTCCCACCGACGCAGCACCACAGTTTCTTTAGAAACTTACCCCTTTATCCTGATGTTTCCCTCCACTTCATCTCGGCAAACATGAGGACTCGAGGAAAACAAAACTGTTTCCCTTCGGACCATACATTAAGTGTATAATGTTCCCCTCGCGGTTTACTGGTTCCTGCTTACTCTCCTGGGTGGAGAGATGAAGTGAAAGTAGTGTTTTTCCCAAGAACACAGCACACTGTTAAGAAAGAGGCGCTAATCATGGGCATATTCCATCTAATGTCTACTTTCAACTGATCCTGTGATTCGAGTTTCGTCACTTTTCACGAATCCGAACATGGTTTCCCCCTGAAGAAGAACCCAGTAACTTTATGAACGATATCGTATTTAAGAGATATAAGGAGTGGAGAGTAACACCTTTATTACAACCTTACTATTACATAAAAAGGTACATTCCCACCTTCAAAGTACTATTTACAGTCTAGTCTGAAGAAGTCTCTAATGACAGATTTTGTTTCAGTCCGATTTTCACTGGCGCATCATTACGAACACAAAAGAGCGAGGAGAGACAAAGAAAACGGTGAATGGAAATGAACAGCGGTTAATTTTTTTCTCAGTCCGTCCAAAACCGGAAGGTAAAAACAGCCTGTCATGCTTGAGAGAATTCCAGTTGAGAAAGTTCTTGGAACCAAACCAAAAGTAATCACTGCAGCCAATCAAAAGAAAGAAACATGAAATGAAAACACGAGTGACCAAGTCGTGATTGGTTTAAGTTTTGAATCTGAGTGGTTGAGTTAAGTAAACCAACTACAATTAGAACGCCTCAGCAATGAACCCTAGCACCGAGATCACGCCGGACAGCGAAAGTAACACAAACGTAACCATGAACATAAAACTGAAACAAGATTGTTCTTCTTGGTCATTTTCCTAACTTTTCGCGCGTGTCTTGGCTTGTGTTTATGCTCAAGCGAAAACCAGCCTTTCCTGGATGCGAGCGGCAACCTTTTAAACCACTATTACACATTTATTTCCCCTAAACATGCACCCATTACATTACTTTAGTGACAGAATAAATAATTTCTTGGAGTTAAATTAACACCAGAGCAGAGCCACTAAATTCCAAAGTTAAAACTGAGCACTTCCTTCGCCCCCCCTTCTGCTGTCAGCATGCGCTGAAACGTTTTCTTTAAAATATGATAATCCATTTACATCCGTTAGTGCAGGCCTCTGCGAGATATCATGACCCATGTTGCGAAGATCCTTCTTTATACTAGAGGCCACTTCCTTGTCTTCGAATTTGTCAGCTAGGGGGAAAACATAGAGCAAAGTCAACCGTTTGTTACGTTTCAATAACAGCAAATAAAATTTAAATCAAACAGAAAATTGTGATTGAAACTGGACTTTTGGGGAGCAAAGGTTAACTCCTCTCTGTTCTTCAATGGGCCATATTCATCATGCAGTGCCTCTTCTGGGGTACGCACAGCCCGTTCCCAGTGGTGGAGCAGATTAAAAAGGGAGGAAATTTGGGTTGGATTCACTTCATGGTTATTCGCCTTGAAAAGGCTCAGATAAGTGCAAAGCATTTCATGCCAAAGAATTTTAACTCTCCTTTTCAAATACAACTCATTCAAACTTGAACCCTTATTTTGAACATGACAGTAGGTACTTAGAAGTCGGAAAAGGCATATTTGAGTCACGCCGTTGTCTGTATACCACATGAGAATTCTTAATTTACGTAAACACTGACGAGACGAAGTCAAATTTGGTAAAATAGCAATGAACGTCATAATTATTTGTTTCTCTCTGCCTGTCGCATGCAAAACCAGAAATGAAAAACAAAGCCAACACCAGTACCTTCAATTTCTGGAGTGCCAGTGTTTATATTAAAGAATACTCTTGGTCTTTCAATGGAATTCTTCAACGACATATTAAAGGCGAGATAGCTAACCAAAACTTCAGCTACCGAAGGCGTTATGTACATTCCACCAGAAGCCCCCAGTGACATGCGGAACCAACAACGTTTCTGAAGAAATAAAACAAACGTTAACAACTTCTACAGCGAACGCTCATGATGCTCGATTGGAACACGGAGATGTGGAAAAAGGAGGATAAGGTGAGAGAAAAAGAGGAAGGGGTAAAATTTCCGCACAGCCCCATACTAAATATGCATTCAGTTCTCGGTTGGAGAAAACAATGACAAAAACAGTACATTGCCATTGAGAAAACAGATTTGTTTACAATAGTATGGGGCTGTTCGGAAATTTTACCAAAACATTTTACAATTTAAATAGAAAGTTATAATACAATATTTACACGACTAATCGCCACGCCGTTTATTAATTTTTTGCCATTGCTAGAGCACCGTTTTACACCGTTTTTCCCAAATCTTATTCCTTGAATCACTCACAACAATAACGATACATCAGTTGTAAATATTGTGTAAGACAGACACATGTTCAAAGTTTCAAAGTCTCGCTTTTTTGCTGAGATACAATCATAATTGCTTGGTTTTTCATTCTAACAACAACGATTGTGGAGATTACCGAGCTGTAATGTAATTTTTTAGTTTTCCTATAGTCCTCGAAAAAACGTTGCATTCATCTTATCGCAGGTACCATTACTCGACGGTGCATTTTATTAGTAATTTTGCTTCCATATGTCAGTCTTTTAAATGCAGTTTAACATATAGGCGACATTGAACCTTGGCAAACTTCGTTACCTCCTTATGAAGAACAACAGTTGGCACACAGGACGAGAGAGGACGCCTTCCTGGCACAATAAAGTTAGCCTGAAAGTAAACGGCCCGAATGTTGGCAGTTAAATGAACAAATTCCAACTGAATAAAACACATTTAGCACGTTCTTACGTTGCGTGAGGTCGTCGACGAGGAGAGAGTCGAGGTTATTCTGTGAAATGTCGGGCTAAGATATTTTTATAAGTATGATTACTTTTGGAATGGCCATCATTTCCCTATAAAGGTGGAATAATACACAGGATGTAGCAAACGTTTTGACTTACCTTGGGTGGCCCATCCCAGCCAACCTTCGTGACTCCAGGAATTGAAAAGTCTGCCATCTCATTGTTTAAAATAATTCCGTTCTCTGTCATGATGCCCGAACCAAAATATTCATTTATTGAGCTGGAAAAAACACATCGAAAAAACGAATTTTAGATATCCTTGCAGCTAAGAACACTACTGAACTAGTAGTTGAAAATAGGACCGGACAAAAATTCAGGCTCGTACGGGATTTGAACCCATGACCTCTACGATACCGGTGCAGCGCTCTACCAACTGCGCTTACAAGCCAACTGGGAGCTGGTCAATATGTTGGGTCCAAATAAACCATCCAAGTGATGAATAATGATTTTAGATGTATGAAATTCATATATTTGTACTGCGGTGAAGAAACGAATTTAGAGAGTATTACTCAGTTGGTAGAGCGCTGCACCGGTATCGCAGAGGTCATGGGTTCAAATCCCGTACGGACCTGAATTTCTTTTTTTTCAGGTCCTATTTTCAACTACTAGTTCAGTAGTGTTCTTTACTGCGAGGATCTCTTAAATTCGTTTCTTCACCGCAGTGCAAATGTATGAATTTCATATATCTAAAATCATTATTCATCACTTGGATGGCTTATTTGGACCCAACATATTGACCAGCTCCCAGTTGGCTAGTTAGCTCAGTTAGTAGAGCGCTGCACCGGTATCGTGGAGGTCATGGGTTCAAATCCCGTACGGGCCTGAATTTTTTTCAGGTCATATTTTCAACTACTAGTTCAGTAGTGTTCTTAGCTGCGAGGATCTCTTCAATTCGTTTCTTCACCGCAGTGCAAATATATGAATTTCATATATCTAAAATCGTTATACATCGAAAAAACATGGAAATAATCATTTCCGAGTTTAACAGAAAATCTAATGTACTTACACACTCCAAGACTTTGCATCGGTTGTTAAAGTCCTTAACAAATTGCATATTGGGTATTGGCCTAATTTCTTCGAGGTGTATTTATGGACCAATACAACACCATGATCTACAAATACTCCAGAACTAGCAATTGCGAAGAGCTAACGTTCGAACGTCAGTTGATAATACTTAATGACCATAGGAAGGGTTAACCCGGATGGACTAACTCTAGCGCAACTCTTCTAACTGACTTTTGTCAGTTATGTTCTAAATATAGTGTAACCCTTCCACACACCTGGTAACACTCACGAGTTCACCATCGGGTCCTATAACAGACACGTGCGCAGTACCATGTGACTCTGCTTGGCCAAACATTGGCCCATAATAAGATTCATTGAAGGTTTTGTTGGGTGAGATTTTCTCTCTGAGGGATTTCGCATGTTCTTTGCTGAAAGAAAAGTTGGATGTGAGAATTTTAAAAAAATAGGGAACGGAGAAGATTCATTTCCATAACTAAGAAAGGCGTTGAATAATTTTCAACAAAGGCAGAACAGGTCTTAAGTTCTAACATCGATTTTTACAGATTTTCTTTTCCTTACAAATTCCTTACAACTAAAAGTAACATTTGTATCTAAAATGCAAGTAAAAGTCAAAAATATACTTTCTTTCTGACTCTAACACATAATTATGAATAATGTTGGTGTGTATCAATGAAGGACACAAAAAGACTGGAGGCGCGGTCGCCTTGGTACCCTTCTTTGATATGTTGTCACAACGCTGCGTGACAACCCACGAAAGGTGGCGAAGGTCAGAGAACTTAAAAAAGGAGTGGACCAATGGAAAGAGAACGAAAGGAACATTTAGAGTAAAATGTGAAAAGTATAAAGACTTTATTTCCCCAGCACCCTGAAATCCTTCTACACAAACAAAACGTTTCTACAAACTTCTATTCATTTTGCATAAAGCGAAACATTAGAAAAAAAAAGGTGAAATTGTGCAGCACATCTACCTTAACATTTGGTTAACAATTTTTGTGACATTGCCATCCTCAAGCAATGACCTCTGGGCAAAAGCAAACTTTATGGCCTAAAAAATAAATCAACAAACACATTTATAAGACATGTGGGCATCACAATAACTCTTCTACAAAATTAATTAAGCCTTAGTTAATTTTGATCATTATTGCAATCATAAAACAGGGTACTACGTGTCTAAGAAGATCCAAAATAAATTGGAGAAAATTTAAGAACTACTATGCAGCTGCAGTAGACTCATATGGTGCTTCATTAAAAAAAATTAAAAACTCTGTGCAAAATTACAATTTAGGGGATTTCCTCTGTAAAAATTTCTTACTGGAAATCTGATGAGACAGAAAGTTTGAATGTTTGCCTGTATTTTCCTAAACATGTATCTTCCTCACCTCTATAATGTAGTGGTATGAGCGGCTTTTTCCTTGATCTTTGTTGGTGAAATTAAATCCTTCAAGGATATTTAGCAATGACACTAAAACAGGTCCCCCAGAAGGTAAAGGTGTTGTTATCACCTGATAACCTGGAAAAATATTGATTGAAGATGACAACAACATTGAAATTTTACTTTCATGTTCACAACAGGGGTTAGAGAGTTAAACTAAAAGAACAGGCACACACAGTTTTAATTCTATCGAACACTGAAAACATACATGTACACTTGTATCTGCTCTCAGAGCCACTTAAATATTTTGCTTACGTTCAAAACAAAAATAAATGACTAATTTATTGTTTCTTACCAAGATATGTTGAATTAATGACAGCTTTGCTAAGAGGCTTGTAGTCTGACAAATCTTTACTGGTTAGGATTCCATTTGCTGATGTGACCTGAATCCAATACAACAAGTAACATTCAAGTCTATAGATTCAAACAATAGTGAAAACTAATTTGCAGTTCAAAGTGAAAGCAAGTAACTTTTTAAGCTTCTATTGAAAGTTAACCCCCAAAAAATTTGAATCTTGTCACCTTTTCTTTATCTGTTTTGCACCATGTTTATTCATTAGTGATTTTTGGATGTACACTCATGTATATGTATCTTGCAACCCTCCAACTGCATGACTTTGCAAAAAGTTTGTATTTTGAATTATTTATTATTAACATGTCCTTGATCAATAAAAATTATTGATGATAACCAGTAAAGGTTCAATAACATCAAAATTAACAAAATGGGAAAATGCAGGACTAGTTGTCAGCTTTAGAAAATTAATTTGAAATTGTCACTTAATTATGGCTAAAAAATTCATTTACATCAAAAATTCCTATTTTCTCCAAATAATAAATGGTTCCTTATAAAAGGGCTGAAGCGAAAACGAATACAATATGTACACAAGTGTGGTTATTTAAATGAGCTGCTGGTAAATATAGTTCTCTCCATTTTGAGTCATTAATTTTTTTTGGAGTCCTCTCTTTGTGACTTGGATTGAATGTGTCTTCTTGAATTATGGTCAAGTCGCAAACAGTTCAACTCGCCAATGTATAAAATCAAGTAGAGATGTCTGCAACTTGGTCTTCAATCCAGTACAACTTATTAGAAGTTAAACAAAGTCATATAGAAAAGTAAAAGATATTTAGTAAAAAAACAATTTTCTTTTCTTTCAGCAAAATTTATAAGGATCTCATGGCAAATAAAGCAAGGTAAACATCCCCAATGACTATAAAAGCTTCAGACGCAACAAGTTATTATATATTGTTTTCACTTGACATCACAGCAGTTATATTGGTTATCAAAGCAATAAAAATGATAGCCATGTTGATGCCCTAAGTAAGTCCTGTAGGATTTGATAACTTTTCGTACACATTAACACTTTCTTTGTTCCAATCAATTTGCATACAATGCAGTTTACACTGAAGACATAAAAAAAAAAAATAAATAAATAAATTCCCAATTTAAGTTTTGCAAGCTAAAAATATTACATAAGTAGAAAATACAGTAAATTGTCCTAATGCCCTGGAGTGGACTTCCAAGCAAAGCCCACCTGAATTCTTACAAAGCAACATATCCCTTTTCATGAAAAGAACTTACCGCAGCCACTATTTTTTCTGCAATGGGTCCTCTGTACAAAACATCAGCCCCATGGTCTGCTATGTTTTGTAATGTCTCTGCCAAAGCTGGATTTCTCATTATATCTCCTTCCTAGAAATAGTAACCTGTACCTCAACATTCAATCTTCTCTCTCTTCGATCATACCTTGGTAAAAAAGGCTGATGCCATTTTAAGCAGGTGTCCTTTTGAAACTCATGAACTTTAAGGTAACTGTGTTTGGTACATATCATTTTCAAGTGGAATATATTAGGCTTCTACCTAGTGGTTCCACAATTCATATTTCCCAATGATTTTGTTCTCAACATCAATCCTTTTAAATTGGGCAAACCTGTACAAGAAGCACACTGCTGGACTCCTAAACATCTCCAGCTTTGAGAGAGTTGACTAATATATTTTCTTGAATTCCAAACCTCTTGGTGGAGCAAATTTCAATCAAGGGTTGATCTTAAAACATAATGTATTGACATGTTACTTTGATTTCCTTTCTGTTGCAACTGAAGTAAAAGAAATTACCTTCAAAGGCTTCCCTTGTGGGTCCAAAATCATTTCTTTTAGTTTAGTACTAAGGGATTCCTTTGGCAAATTCCTTAGAACTCTTCCTGCATAGCAAATTAGCCTCAGTTGATATAAAGTCAAGTACTTGTTTAAACTAATAAAAGCTTATCTTATCAGCATGTTCATTGGTTGATACTGTAGTAAGGACTATGTTCTAATTCAGAGTTTAAGGGAGAATGCCAAAATAAGGCCCAACAAAGGAAAAACAACTGACTAGAAGTCTGGTATCCAAAAAAAGGAACATGAAAGCAAAATCGCAAGGAATTTTATGCAACATTTTGTGCAAAAGACTGGGATGATAACAAACATGATAGCTTTGGTGTAATGGTTACTGCTGTTGACCCACACCTCAAAGAGAAAAAATATAAAGACTCATTTATTCTTGTGAGAGGTTTTAAAAGTTTGAAAGAAATTCCTAAGGAAAAAACCAGACTGCTCTGGCAAAAGGCAAAGGAAAGTGGCCAAACTGGTGAGCCATGACACAAGATAAAGACAACTAAAATGGAAAACAGAGTCATATTTTTGCTTGTATATTTATTTATCAGCTATTAATCACATGATTTTTCTCATAAATTTCTCAATGACTACAAATTGCTCTTTATCCCAAATTGTACTTTAAATTTAACAATTGGTTCATATGTCAGCGTGCGATCATCAAGATATGAAGCATGCGGGAAGTTTGGAGGGCATGAAGAATGCGTCAGAGTTGCTCGAGACTATGCCTCAAGCAACTCTAGCTTCTTGAGTGCTCTCCAAACTTCCCAATTGTCGATTAGACAAATTTTTATGTGATAACCTATACAGCTCAAGTTCAAAAAACCATAATATATGTAACGAAAGTATATTAGAGAATCAGAAGAGGAAATTCTTAATATGTCAAAAGTAAAACACAAGAAAATTTGAATGAAAAACAATAAGAAACGATCGTTTCTTTCTATTTTGTATCAAACATCTTGAGCTCATAAACACTTCAAGTGAGAACTGACCTGTGTGAGCAGTCACCTTAAAACCTTCTTTGGCTAGTTTAATGGCAGGTTCAAAAACTTCTGACCACTTTAACCTGTGATGGATATTACATAAAAATGTTTTAAGCACCAACATGCATTTCAACACAAGAAGGTATAGAGAAACTGCACTTTGCAGAATGTATATGTACTTAAGGTCTTAAACTTGATTGCATGGACATGCTGCAATTCAAATTTTTTCTTGATTTAATAAATATTTTACAATGTAATGTTCTTTATCTGTTAATCATTATAATCATGATATCATAATTTTGGGCAACAGATCATGGGAAATTTTTCACCAGAACATATAAATGCTACATTAACTTGCACTATTAATATGAATTTGTCCTCTGTACATGTAATTTCACAGAAACAATTCTGTTAAAATGAAAAACAATTTTGAACCAATAGTTTGGAAGTTAATCATTAGTTCCAAGACTTAGTGTTCAAAGTCAGTATGTCAGCATAAATTCAGTTCTCTGAAGCCCTTATAATACAATTGTCAAAATTCATAACAATTTTTAAAATAGCCAGGCAGATTTATGTAAAATCCATTGTTTGCAATATTCCTCGGCATCTATTCTTTAACCATTTACACCCTAGCATCAGTCTGCAAGTTCTTGCTATAGTTTTCTATACATTTCCTATGGTACCTAGAAGGACAATTTGTCATATAATCAAGAGCTTGTTGAATTTGTGATCATTTCCTTTATTCTCACAACCATCATATTTGATCCAAGAGCAGTACTGTTGGGAGAAATTAGATGCTTATAATTGTCAGGGGTTAACAGGTTAAGCTACACAGTTATGAACAACCCCATGTCATGATACTTACTTTCCAGACTTCTTGTGTGCCAATTCAAATCCTTTTATTTCACCTGGCACAGCAACTGACAACCCACCCTGGTCAAAAAATAACTTTTTGTAAGTAGAAACAAGTATAGAAATAACAATATCCTTAATGCTTACAGCCTCACTTTGGTCATACATATACCCCAGCTTAAATTCTTGATACCAGTACAGTGTATCCCATTAAGCTGTGAATTGAACAAAGAACTAATCACTTGTTTGGCCCCAAGGATGATACCGACTGTGGTACAGTAATTGGTAAATTCTCTGGTCTTGTTTTAGAATTTATTTCTTTTTCCTTACTAGCAACACTTTAATTTAGTTAGTACTGTTAAATTTTTTTTGCAGCACAATGATATTCTAACTTGTGATTTTAATGAACAACTTCTCAATGAAAATGAGTTCCTACATATTGAAGGCCAAATCAAAGCAGAAAGACTCATAATTTTACTTTTAATTTTTTTTTAACTACAAAAAGATGCAAGGCTTACAGAAACAAAGAAGTCATTGTGAGTGCGAAAAAATTTTTGACTGTACTCAGACTCTATATTCCATGTCTAGACATATTGCAGTCTCACCCATCTCACAAGTGATCCATTTCCTTTAAACATGTCTTTAGTGGCTGCTTGTGGTGCAACTTCTCTGAAATCAATCACTTCTGCTTCTTCTTTGTCCTTCTTGGGAACTACAGTCAGCATGAAGCCACCACTACAAACAAAAATAAACACCAGACACACAGGAATCAACCACTACATCACTGCACTTGACTTGCTAGTACATTTCATATAATCATTAACCCTTCAAGCAGAGACTGTTCTATGCGTCATGTCAATAAGAGAAATATTTTGGCTTGTAAATTTACATCAAAAGTCACAAATTTTGTGTAATGTGTTCCCATGTGAAGATATGAATGTCACCTAGTGATCAAAGGATTCAAGCCAAGGCATTTAATTTTGTGTGTAGAAGAAGGGCTTTCTTCTAGAAGTGTATTACTGAGAAGATGTATTTATCTTTTTTTGTGGGAGAAAATAAAATGACGACTCCAAAAGGAAAACACTTTGTCTTTTGTGTAGGAAGTTGGTCAGAAATAACATTTCCAAAGAAAAATTTGTGTGTACACATACATGACTGTATATCCCTGCAAACACTGTAAGTGCACTTGAGAAATGCATTTTTTTGTAACATTTAATTATTATTTGTAATTCTTTGCTGACTTATGAAGTCTTATTTGACATGGGGTACATGTAACTTTTATATAACCCCTGTATAAACAGTATAAAAAATATTGAAGGCATCAGAAATTGAACAGTCTTATTATTAATTAACCAATTTCATTTTCATTTTGATTCATTATTTTTTTCAAAGTCACATCAAAATCATAAAAATGCAAATATATTAAATTATTTTGAAAAGGTTTTTCTACATTTGAAATACTATTTACTTAGTAAATGAACAGAAAAATGGCTAAATGGAGAAGCCATATATTTATGTGTTTATTGCATCTCTGATAGTATTTAATATGAAGTATTACTGAATATAACAATAATACTATCATACCCTCCGAGCCCTGAACTTTCTGGATTCATCACTCCAACACATAACATGGCTCCTATAGCAGCATCAGTAGCAGAGCCTCCTTTCTTGATCAGATCCAAACCCACATCAGCACATTCTTTAACATCTGACACCACAGCAGCATGACCTGATCGAAAAAAAAAAACCCTCACAATCAAACAAGGAAAAGATATTACAGCAACAAAATCTACCATTTCTCCATGTGGTTCAAAATAAATTGCTTGTGTTTGGTCTGAGAGAAATCCTCATTTGTGTTGAATATAACAATATCACCCAATAGATTTTTCTTCATGCTCAACACCTGTAGTACTTGATATCATATTGATTTATGTAAGGAGAAAAAACATCACCATTAATGGACACTCTCCCTAAGACCCAGTACTACACTTAAGGCTGTTACATTACAATCCCACTATTAAAAGCCCCATATAAATGTTTTATACACTCCTCTACATAGTAAAACAGATACTCATAATGAGCTGGCTCTAGTTATGGACACATTTTTAGCAACACAAGCAAAGGTCAACAATTTTGCAGCTAGCTATCAGGAGTTTCTATCATGATAGTTGTGAAAACAAAATGAGTTAAATCCATGCACATTCATTAAGGTTTGCTACATTTACGCTAAACAGGCTACATGCAAACAATGAAGGAAATAAAAAACAATGACAATTACTTAGAACCTTTTCATTGAAAACTTAAAAATGACTGACAAAAAAAATTTTTGTACCTGTATGGTGATGACCAGTATAGATATCCACAATAAGAGCTGCAGTCACAGCAATGCCAAACACTAGACAAGCAACTATGATCATACGGACCTCCCTCCCTCTGTTACGCTTTCTGTGCAGGTTATAACCACTGCTTATAGGATCACTCTATAAGAATTATATACAATGTACCGTGAAGCATGAAAACATTCCAGGAGTTCCACATAGCAGATCACCAACTACTTATGCTTGGTTGGATTAAGTTTTCAAAGTCCAAGATTACGTACTTATTACAAGTTCTCCTGGGAACTAAATTAATAGCAATTTTCTCTAGCAGATCCCTAGCAGATATAGTAATGCGGCATTTTCAATTTTCATCATTTGCCTCACAGCAAACCTCTCTATCAGGAAATGAGGGAGAATTCATTAAATCGAAGAGTGTAATTTCCAAGAAAATCTATTATGATATGGTAATTTATCTTTTTTCGGTTTCCGCAGGTTTTCTGATCATCTAAGTACTGATTTCGTTCCTCAATTATCAACCAGATACTGTCATTTTGAAAATTCCTGGGCAATCTTTGGAGAGATTTCCGCACAGCACCGTCATTATGCTTAGAGTTTATGGATTAAAAGAGAGCTAAAAATATCTAGGTAATCGGTTGCCTCTGGGATTTTTCCAAACTGAATTCGAAATAAAGTAATATATATCGATATATATTTAAATCAAATCATAACAAGCATGAGTCAACAACCGCATATATTATATCTTAATTATGTTCAACCAAAATGAATCGACACGCAATGATTGAGGCTACCTCTGGTAACAGGGGGTTTATTAGCTTATCAACCTTCAACAGTAATTATTCCATAGAGCACAAATGACGCTTTAAGCTGATTAGAAAGTAGAGCTTAGTGTGCTTACCTGTTCTCCATCATGCCGAATGAGGCTAACCGTGTCTTCGGCCGAGGTGTTCATTTCCTCTAACGCCGTTCCGCCAACCATTTTTTCTCTTTCATTCAACTTCGAGCGGGTTTCTTATACACTGGGATATTTAGATCTCTACAAAGACACGAGCCAGATTTGCGAAAAAAAATAATAACCTCCTCTATTCAGTGTGTCGTGCTTTCATAGGAAGTTTACGTTTCCAGACGATGAGAATTGGTTCCAGACTCCTGCAGTCGTTTTGAGAGCCCGCTGTGCTTTGAATCATCATCAGTCGGTCACGACCGGACTTGGCTGGTCCAGTATAAGTTCCTGTCGTTCGTGGAGAGCCAAAGCCAACCTCTCAATCAGCTGAAGGGTTGACGATCGGCCCGGTCCTCTGCCTTATGAAAATGAGTAATAATTGCCCAAAATCAAAGTAGATGTTGACAATTATACATTTTTCCCTTTATTTTGCCGGCTAAATACTAAACCAGTGGAAAGCGTCAAAGGCGATCTCTGATGGCAACTCAAACTCCGAATATCCTTTGCTACTCACCTTCGAGCGACTCACGGGGAATTCGCGCTAGAAAACATTGTAAGCATTGCAGGAATAAATGAGTTAAAATCATCTTTTTGTGCCATATTATCTCACTGTTTTAATATATACTAAAATAACGTTCCATTTACCGAAGTGGATGTGGCTACTTCTTTGCCGCTTCGTGGCTCGGATAAATATCCACCACCAACCACCACCACTTTGGTGAATACCGCGTTTCCTCGAGTAAGTGCCCACGCTCCAATAAGAGCTCTCCCCCCCATAAGCGCCCACCACCTTGGCCATAATGTCTACAACAAGCGCCCCCCATTGAATAACCACCCCCTCCAACTTTTATAAATAGTTGGGATACAAGGAAAGCCTGTTTGTATTGTCATTTAATTTCTGAGTTTTTAAATTTCAACTACAACGGAATCAGTTCAGGAGAAGAATTAGCATCCCCTTCGATTAAGCACCCTCCTTCCAATAAGCGCAACCCCCCCTTCTTTTAGCCGAAATTATGAGCGCTCTGGCGCTTATTCGAGGAGATTCTGTGGTTGTTAACCAGAACGGTTCGCCAGCCACAATGTCTCATGATCAGTCAACCGTGAAGAAATTTACAGTCACGATTCACTGATAAGTTGTCATCCAGACTAAAGATTATTTTTACAGGAAATTAAAACTCGCTTACTCTCTGGAAGTTGCCATTCTTTTTCAATATCTCGATTATTACTTTGAAATCAGTCGGTAAATATTTTTCCTGGCGGTAATTTAGTCTATGCAAGTTGGCCTTGTCAGTTAGCTTTGCGTATCTGTGGGCAGCCTTATCTTCCAAGTATACTGGTAAATAACGTACCCGTTGTTGAGGCAATAAATTATTGAAGAAGAAAATATTCTAGCCCTAATACATGCATGAATTTCTCTGGCGAATATTTCAGTCAAAAGTATGACTTCTAAACATTAAAACAATCGAATCACGTCCATGGAAAGTACGTCCTCCATGTTTCGCCGCTATATATTGGCGAAATGGAACCATTTGTTATGTCTCTCCAACTAGCTGGAGCTAACCATTGAATCAGAAGCGCAATGTTTACGAGGAATCCCAAAGCTTTCTTGTTATTGTTTGGATGTTTACTCCAGACCTACTTTTCACTTGGAAAACAAGGAAGAACGAAAGAACTAATACTTCGAGGAACAAAGTCCGATGGATCTCAAAAAAGTACCATGAAAATGAATATCAGCCAAAACAGGATTCAAGAGAAATATGCTGGCAAGTTATTCGGCCGCAAAAATACTGCGAAAATGGAAATTCATCGATCTGTTATAGGACTGCACTGGAATAAAATCAAACACGGAAGGTCCCATAGTGGGAGGCTTATGGAAGGAATAGGAAGACGACAAGTAGGTTACAGAGTTTCTGACTGTGATAAGCCCCGCTAAATTTTCCGCCAGTCTTCAGGGCTTTACTTCCGATCACCGATTCGCTAACTCAGAAAAAAAAAACTATCGAGAAAGGAGAAGAACATGCAAGGCGCTCTCAGCTTTGTGGGAAAAGGTCATCTTCAACCTTTTGCCTCAATATAAATTTTATAATACCTTTTTCAACAATATAAATTATGAGCTCGAGATTTCTATCACGTGATAGTCAGTGAGGGCGAGGTGCGAATCAATCATCGTGCATAAAAATCGTGAGCTAATAATTTAATCGTTCTTATAATAAATCTACTAGTATTTGTTTAAAATTAAGCAACAAGATAGGCTAATACTTTCATTTCATTTCTTTCACCGACAAAAGTACAATGTTAGGTCACTCACCCTTCTCACTGTCTATCACGGAATAGAAAGCGTACGTAGCCAATTAGATGCAAACAATTTCATAAAACGCAAGTAGATTTACACTAATACCTAAAAGCTAAACGCAGAAACGGATTTTAGAGTCTTAAGCGTTAAACCTTGGAGCTTTAGAAATTCTTTTATTTTGAGAGGAGATACTTAGTGATAATCTTACTACTTGGTGTCGTATTCTAGATGATAGCGCCTGGATATTACCAAGCTGAGTGTTCTGAGAAAAAGCCTTGCAAAGAAGGAATGTACTGTAACGTGCTCTACTGTGAAAAATGTCATAAACTTAACGTAGGCTGCAACAGCAAGGACCAGTGTTGTAAGGGATTGGTCTGCACTTTTGGAAGATGTGAGAAGAAGGCAGAAGGGGATCCAGGTGAGGCAATCAAATATTTCGAAAGATCTCTCCATCCTTTTTTGGTGTTTTTGATTATTTTGCAAGCTCATGACAACGTGTGCTTTTTGCAACTGGTGGTAACATCGATTGTAGTGCTGGTGCTTGCTATGACCATTATCTAAGAAAGATACAAATATAAAGTAAATAAATCTTATTAGACATTTTGGTGTGTAGTAACGCTAAGTATTTTTACGAGTTGTGACCTGTTTTGACGAGCCTGTAAAGCAAGTCAAAATAAAAACAACTCGTAAAAATACTGAGCGATACTGCACACCAAAACGTCTACTAAGTTTTCATTATCCAATTGCTTTTTTCTGCTAAGTCTTTCTGCTCATTTCTCATGAGGCGGGAAAAGCAAAGCAGATAGAGAAGCGTAGCGCGCGAAGCCGACTGGTTAAACAGGTTTTTTTTACATTATAAAATAACCAAGTGGCCAAATAACCGTACAATATCGCATGATATCTGTACTCTATTCGCATGTTATTTGCACTCTACTTTGTACCGTTGGACGATCTGACCTTCCTCAGTAACAACTGCAAAGATCACAACAGTTGCTGATTTAAATTCGATCAGATATACCCCATTGGTTACCTATAAATATGCGGATCGTCATTTGCTCTGAATGCTTATATGTGAAGCACCTAGCGTCCTGCACGCCTCGCTACAAGAACTTTCAAGCCGACCTCTGTCTATGCCATCGACTGCACCAAAGGACGAGAAGTTATCGAAGGAGCCTCTTATTCGGTTGGTCACTCACAGAAAACTTCGGATATCGTTTCTTTAGAAATAAACTTTGGGGAGCGTTTTTGTCTGAATGTGTATATCATTGTTATAATTACCATCCTAATTGCTGTCCCTCAAGGTAGTCTACTGGAATTAAAGACTATAGCAATCAAAATGTCTTTTTCCCCCTAATATTATATTTTACGTTTTGAGATGTTGATTTCAGGCACATTCTGTGAGAAGGACAGCGATTGTAAAGAGGCGTGTTGCGTTTTGGAACCAACAATCAACTCCCACTTGCCGATATGTAAGCCAACCTTGGAGGAGTACCATCAGTGCGCGGCCATTTTGTATCGAAAAATATGGGTAGGAGAAAAGCCTGACTGTGGACCGTGTAAGCCTGGGCTCGAATGCGCTCAAAAAGGGTGAGTGCAATAAATTAAACCAATATAATAATAATGAATAACAATAATGACGATCAGAAATGATTTAACTTGGTAACTGATAGCGATAAGAATAACAGAAAAAAATTAACGAGAGGAGAAACTCTCCCTAAATAATTTTTAAGGTCATTACGGGTTTATCCATAGTAACCAAAATTGATTTTAAATGGCTGAATTAATCATTATTTCTCTTTGTTAAACAGTGTGTTTGGAAGTCATGAAGTGTGTATGAAGCCAGACTAAGTGATCATCAAGTTCAGGAGACTACTTAAGAAGAAACTTGCTCGGTAAAGTCTACTTCGTCCCAGAACCGAATCAGTTACTCAGTGCTCTGAGTAGGGAGGAGGAGACTTCAACTAAGCGTCAGCTGGTTATCTGTCTCTCATTTCCTTAATTGAAAGTGAATATATTTCATAAGAAAATAAAATTTTTTTAGACACTGACTTCAAGCATAATCGCTGTCCAGTTTCATCAATTTTATTCTCCAAATACTTCTACGTAAACATTACAAATTTTTCTTCCATTTACAGACTTTTAAAAGCTCGTTGTCAGATTTCTCTTCTATTAAGTAGGTAACGTATTTATTCACGTAAACTGCATAGATAAAGAGGTTTCGAAGTATATTACATCATATCTGCCTTGCCTTCGGACACATAATAGCAAAATATTGTAGTTAGGTGCTAAACTATTAGAACAAACCATAAATGAATAAAGAGGGTAAGTTTCTAAAGAAACTATGGTGCTACGTCGGTGGGGGTATAACAAGATAATCTGGTAATATCACTTAGCTGTGTTGATAACGTAAATTGGCCACCCTAAAGAGTTTCTAAATCGAACTGACGTTTTGAACGTTAGCCCTTCGTCAGAGCAAATAGAAAAATTGTTAGATATATGTGATTTATACTCTATGCAGGAAATGGAGCTAGGCTATTGGTGGGAACATGGTAAAGAGAAGAACAGAAATAAATTGGTTGAATGAAAAGCGTTCATTGATACTCGTGGGTAGTGCCGATTTCAAAGATAAGTTTTTGATCTGGAGTTTGCGGCTTTCCGAACGCCTAGATAGAGGCAAAGGCCGTAGACTGTCATATCCTGCTTAGAATGATTTGGTAGATGAAAATATGTAGCGACTCCTTTCTACGCCGCAAAGTTTTTCTCGGAATCAGATCGTTTATGTTGCCTTCCAGTTTCACTGATGTGTACCTTACATTCAGTTGTAAGAGCTTTAAGTTCTGGCAAGAGATTATTAAGATTATTTATAATCTTTTCGGCAAAATAATGTTTTTCACGACACGACATGTACAATGAAATTAGCTTTTCCTGTAAGAAAACAGTTATTTGGTTCCAGGGATCTGTCAAATTTATTGCTTAGCAAGTGGGCGTCTTGCTTTTTACGTTAGTGACATTTTAAAATTCATTATTTGCTTCACTACAAATGAAGTTTCTTGGATGTCAACTCCCCATCACTGCTTGCCTTAAAGCCAACAAATGGTGCATTGAAGCTCAGAAAGATGTCATGTCAGGCGTTTTCCATTCCAAATTTCCCACACTGAGTAGTTCCAATTCCACCAACTGCTTGTCCCAGGTAATGAAATCACGAGTATTAGGTTTTATACTTGGTATTCTCCAAGCAGATTTATTCTCTAATGTTTCCTCCTGTTACTTTTCTTTGTATTGTATATCTTTTCCTAACTTATAGGGTATAATATAAAGTCATCGTAATTTGCTGTGTGGACCATAAACAATCTGGTACTTGTACTCTCTTTGACGTGGGCATTTGTATGAGAATTGTATTATTCCCTTCTATGCCCCATATAAGGAATACCAGGAGGACTAGGAAACCTTGAACTCGCATCTTCTATAACACAATTGAGCATCCTTTCCCGGACTGCATCTCCAAGGTCCTCCAGTCTGACTTTTTTAGCCTGGTAAACAGGGTATTTCCAGAGCCCACATTTGTCCAAAGCCCTCCAGTACGTCTTGTAATCTTTTCTACGTCGCACGTGATTTTGAAAATGAGCTTCCCGTTAGCCAAGGTATTCGCGACTGTTGGTCGTTACACATGGCGTTTGCCGACAGTAAATACACATTTCGACCTCTTCCCCTCCTGCATCAGCTATTGTGGAGACAAAGTAAAATAACTGTTAGAGCGAAAGCGCAACTAAACGGTCATGAAGTCTGATATGACCGTACAACCGGTCTTCCCGCCTTCATTTTATTTTGGACCATTTTACGTACATTTTTCATGTTTTATTGACACGTTTGCCTCATGTGTAGCATAAAATATCGCAACAAATATAACCTGTAGTTCTTAGGCAGGACAAAACGTTTCGTAGGTGTTACGCAAGGCTGCATTTTGGAAAAAGGAGGCATGAAAAAGAAGCAGTCTAAGACGTGAACTGTCGCATCATAGGAAAAAACTGTGGTTTGCAAGTGTATTCTAACTAGTATTACCTAGCTCGAAAAAAATCTGCTACTGGGAAATGATGGCTTTAGGCGAGTGTTTCAATCTTGGTGATACATTATCACAGTGATTGTAAGTATCGAACTGTAATCCTATTATCTTTCCAATGTATTGTTCTAAAGGTCAAAGATCATTCAGTATTGTTGTATTCACATCATACTTAGATTAAAAAAAAACAAAAAAACAAAAAAGGAAATCGCACTATTTGTAGAAGAAGCCCATACAGATTACTAGTTTGGCATCATCGACGCCTGGACATGTTGAAGTGAATCGGTGGCGGTTCATTTGAGCGCTCCAGAACTTCTCCTGCAACAGTCACTCTGCTTTTTTTTTCTTTCGCTTGGTTGGCTGCAGCTCAAGCTGTTTTGGAGTTCTGTATGCCACAACGGTAGATTGACAAATTATCTAGAGGTACCTTAGGCACCTTTCGTTGTATTGCGCGCCTTCGGTAGCCGCTGACCAATAGCAAGGGCAATTGTTCTTGCTATCGGTCAGCGGCTACCGCCTTTAATAGGAGACTACAAAATAGCGGCAAGGAAGTGAAAAAGTCAAGCTCGAGGTTTTGCTGCCACTGTATTTGAAAATGAAACTTAAAAGCTTTGCAGTTTTTGTAGCGATTGGCTTTTCGATTGCTTTTGTTTCTACAGTGGTTTATTTGATATCATCTGAAAGGGATCGCAGGAAAAAGGTGCGTTGTAAAAGTGTCTACTGTTTGTTTTGGACGGGGGGTGTGTGATGTCTTGCGGGATTTATCGTGCTTTCACTGTTAGTCATTTTGTTTGGCTACTGCCTGTTCGCGTGTTTGTGGTCACTTGAGAATATGTATCTATACCACTGCTGAATGTCAGAATCTCAGTACTCCTTGATCATCAGTGCATTTCCTACAAATAGGTATGAAACTTACTCACGGATTTCTCTTTCACTGTAAGATTACTTCCGGGGCACACAGGAACAAATTACATATTATCATTTTTCACCTTTATTATGCCATTTCTTGGTAATTCTGGATTTTATTACTATTAATGCTTTTCTTTCAGAATGAAGAAGATGATTACGATCGAGAAACTCTAAACTTCCCATTTTTACAAGATGCCAAAACCATTGAGTTTATTATGAATTCTAAAACCATGTTCATAATGAGAGGTTTACCTGGAAGTGGAAAATCAAAAATAGCACGAAATATAAAGCAGGTGTATGGTAATATGGCTGTGATCTGCTCAGCAGATGACTTAAGGTTGAATGAACAAGGGGAATATATTTGGAAGATGGAGGAATATGAGGAAACACACTTAAAATGTAACAAAAAAGCAAGCAGAACCTGTGAAGATGGGATTCCAGTGGTTGTTATAGGTAAGTGTTGAGGATAGGAATAAGATCATGTCATGAAATTCACTTGTAGGAGGGCGTAAAATTGCGCCCAGTACACTGGTGCCAATGCGACTAAATTTTTCACTTTGGCGACCAAATCCTGAAAATTAGTCACCAAATTGGTGACTAGAATGCTTCATCATAACCTTACTTAAAGATAAAGTGAATTAAATTGGACATCTAAATGTCCAATTTGTAGCACGTTAAAGATCTTTTTCCTAACTTAAGTTTGGAGGGTCTATCTAGAATGCTGACAGCATTAAAAAAGGTTTTATTTGTCTTTAAAAAAAGTGGCTACCACTTTGAAAAATTTAGGAGCCAAGTGGCTATCAGAAAAAAAAATTAATTTTACACCCTGTGTAGGAAGAACTGTAATGCATGGAATAATGAGATGAGTCAATAATTGAGAGCAACTTCTCCATGTTGAAGTTTATTTTAGAGGTATTTAAGGTTAAATGTTAAACCTCCTTCCCCCATATTAACTTCTTTTGAGTCCTTAGAAGAGGTTATTCAACTGTTTGGGGGACAGAAGAGATTCTGTTGTAGGGTTGACTAGTGAAATTTTGGCCAGACCCCCAGTCAAAGATACTTAAAGACAAGGAACTTTAAAACATCTTTAAACATTTTTATAGGAAAGGCATTTGATAAGATCCTCAAGAATTTGATGAAGATCCTCCAAGTATCCCTTCAAGATCCTTGAAAAGATCCTAGAAAAGTTCTTTGCAAGGGATCCCTCAAGATCTTGAAAGTAAAAATGAGGATATTTCAAAGATCTTTAAAGGATCCTTTCAAGAATTTTTTACTAAGATCTTTGCTGGGATCCACATGGATTTTATCAGGATCCTACAAAGATCCTTGTAAAGATCTTTTTTTTTAGTCGTGATATATTATTTCTGCAATTTTAAAAAAGTGTTGAGACTGATCATTATTATAAAGAATGTTTAAAAAAATCCTTAAATATTTTCAGCAAAATGCTAGAGTTTCCCTTGCAACATCCTTAATGGTCCTGAAAGATTGTTGAGGATTTTGAAAGAACTAAAAAGTTCTTTGGTAGTTTGTTAAAGATCTGGGAAGAATTGTAAAGAAATATGAAGATGTTGGAAAGAATGTCGAAGAACATAAAATATATTGGTAAGAATTTGAAAGATTCTAAACAATCTTTGCAGGAATATTGAAGATCTTAACAAGAAATGTGACAATACTCAAGATCTAAGCAAGATCTTGAAGGATCTTCTAATTTATTGTTAAGATCTTCAAGAATCTTTTGTTTTATTGCTAAGATCAGTATAGGGATATTCGAAATTCTTAGCAAGATCTTTTGAAGATTCTTGAAGATCTGGATCTTTCATTTTCCTGCCAAGATCAGGAAAAATGAAAGATCCTTTAAGATCTTGGTAAGAAAATGAAAAATCCTTGAAGATCTTGGCAAGAAAATGAAAGATCCTTTAAGATCTCAACAAGAATTTTGAAGATCCTCAAAGATTTTTTAAAGATCTTGAAGA